AATGTGACACCCTTACTACTTATTATGCCATCAATATAAATATAATATTAAAATAATCTAAGCAGTAAGAAAGTCACATATATGAGTTTACATTTGTTCACATTAATAGAAACTAAATACACCATCTGCATCAGTTATCCAAATACGTATATAGCAATCATCTGTCAAAATATATAGTCATCAAGTCATATATAAACATATACACATAGCTAATTTACATACAAAATAAAGTGGGGTCACGATATCAGAGACAACAACAACAAAAATGATCTCACAAGCTTTCCCCTTAGACCCATGATTATCAAAAATACCATTTCCTCCAAAAGTTAACAGTACTCTAGGAGTAAATGGATAAGTGAGTCTCATGGGTACCCTGATGGGGATGGAGTATGCCCGTGGGCCTGGCCCATTTCTATCTAACAAAAAGGTAATAGTGCCAGTATGGGTGAACTGTTGTCGTTTCCAATCGTACGCCCATCTTCTTTCAGGATCATATCTGACCATGACGGTGAACTGGTATGGTGGTCGGGCCATTTGTGTCATCACCTACTAAACATATTCACATACAACATACATAGCAACTAAAAGGGTGAGACAAACTCATTTCAACCAAAGTATAGTAGAAAACACGTCAAGATATTTACAATCATTATAGCAATTAGCAACAACTCAACACACAATGTACATGCCATGTATGATTCTGTGCATCACCTAGTTAATTGCTATACTGACACATGCATGTGGGCCTAAACCATTTTCTTTTTCTTTTTTCTCTTTCTTTCTTTCTGGGAAGGATCAAGAGTTCACTGTCACCAATCATTCTTGGTCATAACCATCTCATTAGATAGTTTCAAAGATATAGCTCAACTAATTCTGATAATCCATCGGGTTCTGTCAGGATAGTCCAGTTTTGCAGTGAGAACCGACAGCACAGGGTTGCGAGCCCTGGCCTTTGCCAGGCTCAATCACACCCAACTATCCCCAAGACTAACCTGGAGTCTCCCCTAGATTTCGTATACTTCCCATCCAACACCATCATCATTACATGCTTATGATGCATGAACCTAATTTCAGTCTTTTAATTAGGTATTAAACATTTCTTTTTAATCAACAATATATATTTCAAAATTTTACCGACAATCCGGCAGAGTTTCCTCCATAATTCAGATATTTCTAAATTTTCTTCTCTCTGCAAAACAGCCAGAAAATTCCAATACACTTCGAATTTTAAACAGAGTCTCATTACCACCACATTTCACAACTTTTCTTTCATTTCAATGGCTCTCAAATACCTTTTTCCAATTATCACCACATTTCAAAATACCCATTTAAAATAATTCTTTAAAATGAATTAAAATCCTTTAAATTATTTAAATATGTATATAGGTATATTTTAAATATATAAAAACTATTAAATAAATTTTGATCAAACCACTTGAAATTAAAGAAGATTTTTTTTTTAATATCTTTATTTTGCAATTCTTCAATTCTTTTCAACTTTCAACAAACCTTCTATATGCTCACTCCACATGAATGATAGTTCATTCCTCAAGTATTTTAGGTAATCAATTATTTATACTGAATTCAACAAACAATTATCATAGAAACATCATCACACATAAAATCAATTTCAAAAAGGAATATCAAACAATTGTACACTAAGTATGGAAATAATTATAAATTCCTTCAAATAATTCATATATACATAGCAAAGAATAAAACACCCATTTCTCAACATTTTTCTACTATACCCGTGAAAATAGATATGTCCCCCCCTTACCTTGAAGTGTATACCGATTTTTTTCTCACCAACGACTTCTTTCCACCACTTCTTTCCACCACGATCCTAACCAAATAATCACACATAATCATGATCAATGTTAAGAGGCATTAATCACCCAACCCACTACTAGTGAGTTGAAACTATCATTTTCTAATCTTCGCAAAAATGACTTACGGGCCTTACAATTGTTTTCTATGATGTAAATGGAATACTATAAGCCTAAAGGTGATTAAAAATAATTATTTTCCCTTCATAACACTCTTGGGACAGCACCTCTAGACCAAGGGTTTTAAACTCTCAAATGTATTTTTAACAAAACAAAAAGCACCAAAATTATTTATTATAAAATATAGAAAGATTAAGCTAGTTAAAACATAATTTAGAAACAAAATTTTTGGACAAAATCTCACCCTCATGCCACTGTTCCAGCACCCAAAAAGAGGGAGAAAATAAAAAAATTAATCGGTTAAAAGTGTTCAAAATGATGAAAATAGATGGAATATTAAAAAAAATTAATGAACTTACTTGGAAAATTAAAAGATTAAGACCAAAGATGATCAAAGCTCCTTGGAAGAAAGAAAATGGGGCTTATGGAAGTGAAAGGAAGAAATGGGAAGCTTTAGAGACTAATCCTTATCTTAAATAGTAAAAATAATAATATAATATTAGAATTTTCACTAATTCTTTAGTAATTAATTGAAATAATTAGATAAAAATCCAAAAATTTAAAAATAATCATGAAATATATTAAACATAATTATAAAATAATTTTTGACACTATTGATCCTTTAGTTGGTGTCCAAAATTTTTACACGCAATTTCTGCTTGAGCATATAACTAATTTACGTAAAATTAACCAGAAAATCCACAAATGCTCATTAATTACAAAAAAATTATTTTTATATTCCAAATAATATTTATAAATAAAATATAATTTTTTTTATAATTTTTACTATTATTATTATTATTTTCAAAATAAAATATTATTTTTAACTTTATACAACAATTTTAACCAACACAAATTGACATTTTTTGAAACTTAAAAATTTTAAAATTAAAAATTACCAAAATTTCTTAAAAATATACCTAACAATTTTGTCTAAAGCATCTCATGCTAATTCTATCCCAATTTTTCCCAAAAAATCAAGTATTATATATTAACTTAGAACTATATTAATAAATTAATCGTTTAGCAAAAACGAGGATGTTACATGGTACGTAGTGGGTTTAGTACGCCCCGCCAAAACGGCTCCGAAACAAACTAAAAGGTGCATGCCGCACTCACGAGGGACTGCCAGTGATATACTGGAGGAAGGTGGGGATGACGTCAAGTCCGCATGGCCCTTATGGGCTGGGCCACACACGTGCTACAATGGCAATTACAATGGGAAGCAAGGCTGTAAGGCGGAGCGAATCCGGAAAGATTGCCTCAGTTCGGATTGTTCTCTGCAACTCGGGAACATGAAGTTGGAATCGCTAGTAATCGCGGATCAGCATGCCGCGGTGAATATGTACCCGGGCCCTGTACACACCGCCCGTCACACCCTGGGAATTGGTTTCGCCCGAAGCATCGGACCAATGATCACCCATGACTTCTGTGTACCACTAGTGCCACAAAGGCTTTTGGTGGTCTTATTGGCGCATACCACGGTGGGGTCTTCGACTGGGGTGAAGTCGTAACAAGGTAGCCGTAGGGGAACCTGTGGCTGGATTGAATCCTTCGCGATGGAAAAGCCCAACCTACGGGGCTAGCTTGCTGGAATGCGGGCGGGCTTTGGGTCCAAAGGACACCGGGGGCGAGTCACAAAAGAAAATCGTTCTATTTTCCTTTCCCAGAATGAACAAACACTCCTTATACATGCAATCAAGATTAAAGAAATAATTAAATATATAACTTATTTACACAGTCATTTAATTAATATTTTAAATTATATTAATATGTTAATATGTTAATTTTAAGTTTTGTTTTAGTTTGATTTTTTATTTTTTTTCATTTTAATCTTTTTATTTATAAGTATTTTTTAAAATATTAATTCTATTAAAAATTAATATTAATATTTTTATTTTATATAAACTCTGAGAAAAATATAATATATTCTGATAAACTTTTTTGGTCTACCACATTTTTGTTCTTTTCTCTTATTATTATTTTTTCTTTTCTTTCACTACTTCCACCTCTGATTACCCATCTACATCCCGTTTTCTCTGCCTTTAAACTCCCACGATAATGGGAATAGCAAAAAGAAAGCGGTGCAAATATAAATTCATGAAATTTGTTGCACCACTCCATTGCATGCCATCAAAAAGTTTCAACCACTCTTATTTTTTATATTATTAAAAAAAAGTAACTTGAAGCCCTCAATTGACCTTCATGTCCTTCTGGACTCCAAAATGTCACCCCATGATTTACTTTTCTTGACTTTAACACGCAATAATGCAAAGGAAAAAGGAGGAAACGTCATAGAACTTACCACACCACGCCAAATTCCAAACTAATTGATCCAGTTTCATCCTTTCTACCTCTGTAGTGAAATGCTAAAATAAATTATTTTTAAAATATTAAAGTTAAGTTTTTATAAAGTTAATGACTAAATTAATAGACACGTAAAAATTTACTCGTTGTAATCTATATAAATAAATAAAATAAAAAGTTAAATTTCCATTTTAGGAGTCCCCTCCTTCCCATTAAGGGACGTAACCTTCGCGCGTGAGACAGTTTGTGAAAAGGCCAAAATCACAACCTTGTTAGCTCTTCTTAATATAACATTCTTATTACGAACTGCTCTTTACCGTCCAAATTTGTACAAGTTCCTCAACATGATAATTGAAAGGCCAAATTAGTAATCATACCTCCTGAAAGTAGTGGAAGTAATTGACAGACTCAGGCCATTTAGAGAAATTATCATAATTTGACTCCTATAATTTTTAATTCATTTTAACAAACTTCTTAACGTAACTTATCAAAATAATATTTTTTCATTATTTCGATAAATTTCATATTCTAATTTACCTTATACCTATCGTGTAGTAAGAAATTATTCCATATGTGCTTAACTAAGTTGCTTACTCAAGTACCTTAACACAAATTTGTGACTTCATATTCTCCAGATCATATAATTGAAAAACACCAGATTCAAGGAGAGAAGGGCTATCAACATTTAGCAAGTCAAATTTTCACAGAGAACAAGTATTATAGTAATCTACAAACCAATGGTTGAAACTTTGAAGATCATTTCAGTATATAACCATATAATGTCATCAAACTAAGAAAAATAAGCAACCTTTTAATACAAAAAGTCAGTAATCACCATTCTTGCCATGTTTTCCTAATTATGAGGCCAGTGATATACAATTTTAGGTCTCACTTCCTAAAGAATTAACGCTATTACTAAAAGGAAAAGACTACATACCTGCATTCCTAAACAGAAAATGCACTAAGGCCTTGTACCCCAAAAGCAACCTTCTAAGGTTTCTCAATCATACATTAAAATTACAAGCAGGGTTCCTCAAATTATCATCGTAAAGATTCTGAAAGAATTATGATCGAAATGAAACAAAAAGTGCACCCATGTCCAAGGCAACATAGAGAACCCTTCAGAATTCTAAAGGCCGAAGGATCCCCCATCAATGAAGATATGCCAATTTGTTTTCCCTGGTGATTCTCCTTGAAAAAATGAAACATATTTGACATCAGATGACAAGTTCAAACTCTACCATCCATAAATTTAGCTACTATGCAATGCCATTAATCAGATTATAGACATAACACGACATAAGAGTTCTGTTTTATGATTCATTTCTTTTAAAAAGAGAATAGAAATAGCACAAAAGGTTAAAATTGTGATGTATTTTGGTTCTGCTAAAAGGGTTGAATTAAGGAGAACTTGAAAAAAGAATGTTCCATTTCAATTCTATTCATGTGTAAAAGGCTATCAACGAATCATTCTATCTCCAGAATAATAAATAGTCCACCAATGTTTGAATTTTAAAGAGTTTGAAGTAATTTTTAATTTAACATATTGAACAATAATACTTTTTTAATTTAGAAGGCTTTGGCAAAAATAAAGATGGTGGTTGCAATCCTTTGGTGCATCTGGTTGAAGCAGAATGCTTACAACCTTAATGGTGTCTCTTTACCCCTAAATTTGCTGAGATCATATATATTTTTTGGCTTCTAGTCAGGCATTTGTTGTAAGAGTTGACATTTTATCTAAACAAAAATTATTAAAGCAGAAACAAAGGACTTAGCAAGTTAGTATATAATCCTCCATTAAAAATAGGAAATTTACCTGTGAACATAAATTGCATTACAAAATAAGATTCCAATGCTACATTCAAGATTCTTCCCAGTTTTTTTGCTTTTTTGAATTTTTTATTTTTTGGACAGTATCCAATGTCAATGGTTCCCCATCCACAGCATCTTGCCCTAGCATTATTGGGTCTCCCTTGCCTTTTCTCTTCTTTTCATTCCTGTACAGTAAGACACTAAGATGAGCTTAAATAGTTTCAAAAATATTCGTTTGATCCTATGAATACATTACAAGAGAAAAACCTGTCAGTATGGGAAACGACTTCCAAGTTCTTATCCAACCAATAAATGCTGCCTGTGTGATTGGGAACCAGGGATCCACAAACATGAAGTATTTCTTCATCAAAGCTGCAAAGGTAAATCATCAAAATTAATTATGTAATGAAATGCTCAACTCATAATCCATGAGTTTAATTTTATCTAGTGTCATTATGAAACTCTTTATACTATTATTAATAAACAAGAAAGTGCCAAGTCACTGTAATAACCAAAGTTTTTCAACTTGCAGTAAGGCTAACAAGTAGCAGATAGTGAAAGACTCTTTCCAATTAAATCTTACGAACAAATAATTATTACCATTGATAAAAATGTAGATCCCATCAGACCCACACTAACTACCAATAGGGAAAATCAGAAAAATGCTTGTACATCTGTAGTTGTATCAAATAAGTGAGCTTTATGAGACCATGTTTGATGAGTTACTCTTTCCACAACAGAATGTATCATTTAGCCATAATGCTGTGATAGTTACAGTTTGAAAATGTATGCAACAATTTGCCAAAAAAAAAAAAAAATCACAGAAAAAACAAATCTAACAAAAAAAATATAAATGTTTCCTTTATTCTATTTTCATTCATCAATTAATTAATTAATTAAAAGCAACTAACAGGAAACAAGAGTCTGTTATAGCTCACATCATTATCTAACAAGAGATGATACATGAGCATGCAACCACAGATGAAGGTGCATAAACATCAAGATGTGAGCAATGGGTGCCCTCAAGAGCAATATTTTATATTTCACTTTAAAGGTATTGAAAAAAAATTAAGGTCAAAATTCTATCACAATGTGCAATATATAACTGCATTTTGGTGCATTTGGCAACCTGAGTTTGACAAGAGTAGAATGCATACATCTTCAAGGTGTTTACCGGTCCACAAATTGTGTTGGATATTTTCTGAGTCTCAGGTGTTATGCCCGGGGCCATTTTAAGGGTGTAGCTATCAAATGGGTATCAAGTAAAGATAGAAATGAGGACTGGATGTATCTGTATTATTTATGTATTCAGGTTTGAAATTAAGCTGCTTACAGTATAAACCAGAAAAGAAACAATGAAAGAAACTCATCTAGACACTTCAAGAGGCCTATACTCTCCAAGGGGTCCCATATTCAACTAGTCCCAACCTCACTTCCTCTCCCCCACCTCTCTCTACTTACAATGTTATTACGTTATCGCTTTTTTTCCCCACTACTCCCCCCTATAACCGCGCACTACTGCTAAGTTGCTCCTTTCTTTCTCTTGGCTATGAGGCCCTTCTCACATACACTTTAGAAATAATGGCCTTCTTTGGGCCCATATCACTATCTCTACTATGCAAAGAGATTGGCTAGCTTGCTGCACACCTAGTTTCCTTTGTTATTCTTCTGAGAAATTAAAACTTCGCAAATTATATATGCTTATAAACAGTTGAGCAACATTATTACTATTTATTATATGCTAATTTCTAACTTACTACTCATACAAATTTGCAAGTGTGGTGTTCATTTTAGCCAACTGCATTTAGTGAGAAAAGGCTTGGTTGTTGTTACTGTTTCGTGTTTCTTCATAGTCTTAATTAAGATATGCGACACTTCCCGTCGATGCAAAAACATGATCAAAATTTCAAGTCACAACCAATTCCACAGAAAATGCATTGAACACATCTTATCCTTAATTGAAGCAATTTAACAGTATTTCACCTCTTGACTAAAAACCGTATCATGGTTCCGACCTTTATCACGTGCCGCTTGTGGGATCTACTCGCATAAACATCTTGCCCTCGTTTCTACAATAAATCACGCCAACCACATCAGCACCACTAATCGGCAAAACAAGTAGCAACTACAAAATTGCATTCTCATGAAGCACTCACAGTTTTATACACGAACTCTTCCCTAATGTCTTTGTCGGCTATAATCGCAGAAGAAAAGCCAAGCACAACAACATGAATGGACTCTTGGGTAAGTTTAACTACTTTCCCTTCTGAAACAAAGAAAAGACAAATCCTATAAACCTAATTAGTTGATTTTTCTGAAAACTAGAGAAGAAGCAGAAAAGAGCACCTAAAAGCGTGTTTGGCTTGGGAGAAAAGAGTAACAAATTGACTTTGAGTTTAACGCCAAAGTAAGGATGAACACCGGGGAGAATCTTGGCGCACTTGTCGAGCGAGTTGACATCGTAAGCCAAAACGACGCCGTCGAAGGTTTCGCAGAAGCTGCAACGACAGAAAAAGAAAAGAACGGTGAGGTTGATGAAGAGGTGCGAAACGATGACGTTTGGATGGAGTTTGGAAGCGTACGTGAAGAGTAAAGAGCTTAGTTGGCGTAGAACCGCTTGGGAAACTTGTTTGCTTTGTGAAGGGTGAATGTATACTACTAAGTTAGCTTTCGACACCTTCAACCCTTCCATTCCCACACTCTGCCGCAAGCCTAAGACGCTGCTGCTAAGATGTTAGGTCTTTTCCTTCTCATTTCTTATACCCATTAGTCAAAGCACCAAAATACCCTCCTATTTCCCTTCCCATCATCAAAACCAGAGAGGGTCAATTTTGGAAGATTACTATCACTGTATTAACTGATCAATTTTATAGTTCTGTTTGTAAACAATTTTTCTTCAAATTATATATATATATTTAATATTTAATCTGGTTTAGTATATTCAAATTTAAAATAAAATATACTGAATTAACGAAAATAAAAGATCTTAACTATCTTGCATAGACAAAATTAATTTAACAACTTATTTGGAGTCTACTTCTATGTATATGACTAAAATCTTTCTGAATAAATAATTATAAGTCGAAAAGAATAGTGCAAGGTTTAGTTATGATAGATTAGAATAACTTGAATTTAACTGAGAAACTGGCAATGAATTCACCTTTTGCACTAACATAGATTCATCGACAACATAAGGTAAGAGTTTTCCAGGAAATCTGCATAACCAGCAGCTTAGGATTTGTGTCAGTACAAGCTTAGTACATTGGAGAGATTAAATTAAACTCATACATGTTATGAAAAAAAATTATACTGTTGAAAATAATTTTGTTAAAAAAATATTTTAAATTTAATCATTAAATTAAAAATTTTCATAACATAATTATATAAATAATGTTTATAAAAATTCAAATTAAATAAAATTATTCAATTATTTATTTACACATATCAAAATTAGTATAGTACATAATTTTCAAATATATAAAATAAGATTTTTTACTACATTATTATTATTATTAAAAAATTGATTACTTTTATTTTTCGAATAAAAGAATCAAATTTAAGTGCTTTTATATAAAAGACAATGAATTTCTTTTCATTTCCAATACAAATGCATGAGAGCTTCAGTTAAACTTACAGTAAACCTAAACACATAATTTTTTTTTCATTATCAACAAAAAAAGAGTTATTTTTATTTACAATCAGGCAAAGTTATTTTTAATAAACATAATTAAATTTAAGGCATTAAACACAGTTATAATATATATATATATATATATATATATATATATCTAAATTCATATTTTTATTAAAAGTATAAAAAATAATTATTGCCTCTCCGATGCATTTTCAAAATGAAAGGTAAATTGTTTATACTGGAAAAAGGAAAACGACCAAAGAGAAAAAACGAAAAACCTGTCTTTCGAAATTTCCCGCCAAAAAAATGAGAATTGCCGAGTTATCCTCGCCGGAGCTCCGGCCATTCCACCGAGAAACGGAGACTCACCACCCTTTCCTCTCCCAAATCGAAGCAATCGTCAAGCAACTCGAAAACCACTCCTCCGACAAACCGCCGCCGGAGACCGGCGCTGCCGATCTCCGCCAATGCCTGACTCAGCTGAGTCAACTCGCTCCGTTTCCCAACTCATTGAAGCTTCAGATTTGGAAGCTAAGCTACCGCCTCTGGAATGCCTGCGTCGACATCTCCAACACCACCACTATCCGCTCCTCCTCATCCGCCACCACCGCCGCTGCTGAAAGCCACGCCGAACTCCGGCACATCGCCGCCGACCTTCTGTCCGTTGCTGGCGAGGTCGCCGGCGTCCCCTCTCCGGCAATCAAGTCGGCGTCGTTCTACCACAAGACCGGTCTCATATGGCACAACCTCCGTAAATTTGATCTCGCCTCGAAATGCTTCGAGCGAGCCACCGATCTAGTCTCCAAGCTCGACATCGCTTCGATCCCCGACGCCGGAGAGCGAAAACTGTTGCTGGATCTGAACCTGGCACGTTCCCGAACCGCGTGGGAGGTTCGGGACCCGAACCTGGCGGTGACGCTGCTGAACCGAAGCAAGAGCTTGGTCTTCGGTTCGTGCGAGCACCACAAGGAGCTGGCGAAGCAGTTCATGGCGTTCGGCAAAAGCTCTTTGTCGAAGAGCGGCGAAGACGCCAATCGCGATTTAAGCGAAGCGCTGAAGCTGATGAACGAGGCGTTAGAGAATTGCGAGAGGGGATTCAGTGCGGCGAGGACACGGGAAGAGAAGGTGGAAGTCAGAGGGTTGAGGTGGAAGGTTTTGAGGTTCATAGCCGCGATCCATTTGCAGAAAGAGGAATTTGAGAGTGTAATTAAGTGTGTGAAGGTTCTCAGAGATTCTGCTGAGGGTGGTGATGACCATCCGAGCCTTTCGGTGTTGGCGATGAAGGCTTTGTTAGGGTTAGGGAGGTATGGAGAAGCGGAGAGAGAGTTGAGGGGAATGGTAATTGATCGAGGGATTCCGGAAGGGGTTTGGGTGTCGGCGGTGGAGGCCTATTTTGCGGCAGCGGGGACGGCGGGGGCGGAGACGGCCAAGGGGGTGTTCTTGGCGCTGTTGGGAAGGTGCCATGTTAGTGCGGGTGCGGCGGTGAGGGTGGCGCACAGGGTGGTCGGTGGTGGTGGTGAAGGAGGAAAAGTAAGGGCTAAGGTGGTTGCTGAGCTTGTTTCTGATGAAAGGGTTGTGGCCCTCTTCGCAGGAAAGGAAACTGCTAAGGATAGAGTGGCAATGCATGCTGTTCTGTGGAATTGGTATAACTTCTTGATCCTTTGTGTGTGCTAATAGAGTCTGGACTGCTAACAAGTAGCAACTACATAAGGGGCTAAACGCTGCCTCATTTTCAAAATTCACTGGCAGTTTATCGATTAAGATGAAATAGTATCATTCTCTAAGCTTTAATAACATTTATGGACTACTCAAAGTTTCTTACATATTTGTCTGGAGTTTCAAGCTTGCGTATCATTTATGGCCATCTTTATTTAGGAACTAGGATGGGAGCATTTGTAGTGGAGTCAGGAGCAGTGTGGTCCGAGCCTTAAACAATTTGTAGTGTATTTCAGGATTTATTTTTATTTTATTCAACTGTATTCCTCTTGGTTTCTGTTCTAGTTTTTTGCTGAAGTTCATAATTGATTGTTAGTTATGTCTGTCACTGACTCAATTTCCACAATCTGTGTTGTTTCTATTTCTCACTGAACATGACAGAGCCGAGATGAGCTTCTAAGAGTAACTTTCGTAATTGATTCAGGCTTTGTTATGTAATAAAATAAATATATGCATATTTGGTTTGCCTGCTACTGGGACCATCTTGTGAACACAAGGAGTTGTGTTTTATATACTCTTCGACAATTCAAATCTGTAATTCCGTATTCTTGACAAATGCTGAACTGGAATTTATTTTCATGTTTTTTCAGTTTAAAATATACAACTGAAAGGTTTGACTAATCTCAGAGTCATCGAATAAGTTTCTTACAAATATTGAAGGGTTTGCCAGATGCATATTTGCATTCAACAAGATTTTGAAATACCTAGGAAGGTTTTCCCCCCAAATGACTGATCACAATATTTTAACGTGATTTTCAGTGGCGCTGATAATTTTCAATCAAAAGATTATGAGACCAGCGCGGAACTCTTTGAAAAATCAATGCTATATATTCCTTACGATACAGAGAACAGAATACTTCGAGCCAAAGGCTATAGAGTTTTGTGTCTCTGCCACCTTGGTCTCCAGCAGCTGGATCGTGCTCAAGAATACATCAACGAGGCTGAAAAGGTATTGTTGTCGACAGAATCTGAATTCGCTGCATTAATTTTCAGTCGCATATGAAAGGTTATCCTTGCTTTTCCATCTCTGCAGCTTGAGCCCAACATTGTCTGTGCTTTTCTCAAGGTAACATCTATTTCTCTCTCCGTGTATTTTGGTGCTTCTGTATCCATCTGCATACATAAATATAGGCGGCCTAAAACAGCAGACAAATTTATAATGCCATCCTATGTGGGCGCTTTTCATTTGATTTCCTATGTTAATGCTTAAAGTTGTTTACAACCTACAACTTAACCCACTTGCATTTCATTAGGACAACGATTTTAATTGGGATGACATGAGAACTTACATGGACATTTCATTTGTTTCAACTCAGTTCAAAATTTATCTCCAAAAGAATGACTACCAAGGTGCCATTAATCAAATTGAAGCGATGACTGCGTGCCTTGACTTTCAACCAGATTTTCTCTCTCTTTCAGCCCATGAAGCTGTTGCTTGCCGTGCTCTACCTGTTGCTGTAACTTCTCTATCGAGTATGCTAAACTTCTATGCTTCAGGAAAGTCCATGCCAACAGCAGAAGTAACAGTTCTGCGCACCTTGGTGACAGTCCTCTCTCAAGAACCGGGTAATGAACAGCAAGTCCTCAAATTCTTAAAACATGCCCATACACGCGCATCTGAGATTGGTCCTGATTGCTTCTTTGGAAAAGAGGAGGTTGGAAGACGGGAGCGGAATTGGTTTGCTGTGACTTCATGGAACTTTGGTACATCAACAGGGCAGGATAAGAACTATGAAATGTCTGCTGAGTTCTTAAGATTGGCATCAGATTTTTATGCTCTAGTTGAAGGTTCAGATAATGAGAACAACGTCATGGCTTGTAAATCGTTAGTACTTTCTGCATCATCAATGATAGCTTTAGAATTTCAAAGGAGAACTGCTATGTCAGAAACTGAAGTCAAGCAAGCTTTACACTTGCTAGATAGAGCAGGACAGGTATGAAAATTTTACTGCCTTCATTTTGCTTGATGCTTTAGTTGACATGATGCATAAAATAGGATATATCATACTATCGAAAGTGACTCCTATTTTAGTTATATTTTAATTTTGAATTCTGTTGAGTATTTTCTTGCTCTCCCCTTGTGTGGATGCAGATGCTAAAATCAATTTCAGCCAGGAACTCTGTTAATGGTGACCAAATTAATACCAGTGAGCCTGACCTTTTTTTCATATACACTTTCTGCGCTTATGATATTCAAGGCAGGCTTAATGACTTGGGATCACAACTTCTCATTGTGAGAAGTTTTGCCGGTTCTAAGGCTTGCAAACCCCAGTACCTCCTTCAGATAGGTCTCTCTGCCTCCCAGGGGCCACGGTCAAATCACGAAGTAGCCTCCTTTGCTTTAAATGAATGCCTCTCATCTTTCCTTTCATCACCACTTCCAGATTATCAAAATGTTGCTCTTGTTATTCGCAAGCTTATATCCATTGCCAGCATTCACAAGGGTGATACAGATGATGATTTCGTACATAGCATGTACAAACAAGCCTACAGAATAATGGTTGGTTTGAAGGAAGATGAGTACCCAATTGAAGAAGGAAAGTGGCTTGCCATGACGGCATGGAACCGAGCTGCAGTTCCAGTGAGGTTAGGTCAGATTGAAATGGGAAAGAAATGGATGTCTGTTGGTTTCGACATTGCAAAGCATGTCCCAGGCATGGAAGCTTACAAAGCATGCATGGAAGAAGTCCTTGGCAATTTGGAGGAAAAACTTTGATATGCACGAATCTCAAGTCCAGTTTCCAGCAGTTACAAAACTCGTACATCTTGTACAGGAAAGAAGTTCAGGAAAGTGTAGATACATCTGGTGTTGAATTTTGCATTGGTAATGTTCTGTAAGGTTAGACCGGGTTTTAACTACAATCTTTGTCATTAATTTTACTAACAATTCAAAATTCTATAAGAAAAGTGTACAACTGCAGTATGAATTTTGCTAACGATTCAAAATTCATATTTGTCATGTTGAAGTTATTCTTAGGTTCTATTTAATTACAATATTTGAATTCAGTGACTATGAGAATAAGAATTCCGAATAATGTATAGCTTGAGTCCGGAGCATTAAGTGTTCTATATCAAATTTGGACACATGCATAACTTAATACATTTTTATAAAATATAAAATTAATTAATCTAAACTGTTAAGTTATTTTATATATATTTTTATCATGTACATCAAATTTTATATAATTTAAATATTTATAAGTATATTATTTAAAATTTGATGTTTATATATATTTTAAAAATAATTTATTAAAATAAAATAATATTATTATGTACTTAATATTTTTTTCATAAAATTATTTTATTTAATAAAAATTTTAAACTAATTCATATTTTATAAACATTTATTATATGATGTAAGAGTTTAAGATTAATATTTTGTGTCGATAAATGTAATTCTAATTACACATTAAATATTGAGTATCACAAAAAAAAAATCCTTAAAAATTCTGCTAACTATCTCATTTTACTGATTTTTTTAACTAACGGATAAGTTAGTAAATAAATCTTTCGGAATAAATACTATAATTGTAAATTACAACCATAATTTTACGCAGTTAATAAATATACAAAATAAATGATTCATCAATTTTTTTAAACTTTATTAACATGTTTGAATGGATAATAATACTAACATAAAATACTTATATATCCTTATTATATTAATAATTAATAACGAAAAATACACGGGTTACCCAATATCCAAATTAGGTATCCTTGAATATTTATGTTTATTTTATTAATTAATACTTTATACATTTGTTATCCTTACAAATAAAATAATCAATATCATCTAAAGTACCGTATATAGAAAGTAATTTTTAAATAAAATAAAACACATAAATTATAAATTCCAACATAAGATAAGATGCATATATTAAACTTTTTCCCTATTCTTTTTCCAGAAGGCTCTGTGTGCATTTCCCACTCATGGATTCTGTGTCTCTTCTCCTCTCTCCTTATCCACTCTCCAACAAAAACCACCCCAAAACCCAGAAACTCATCCCCTTCAAACTTTTCTCTCTTTTCTCAAACCAAAACTCACTACACTCTGCAATTCCATCTTCTGCATCTTCTCCTCAACCCCATTTATTCTCCACAGAGAGAATTTCAGTTTCTTCACTCCAAACACATTCTCCCAACTCACTTCAAAATCTTATAACAAAATCATTCTTTTCATATGCTATGATTGATCTCTTCACTCCATTTCCATGCTTTGCTGTTGAAGCTACAGTATCCCCTTTGGTTGAGTCAGATGCATTCAAAATCAACTTGGAATCGGTTCTGATTTCCATTGATAACTTTTTCAATCGATACCCATTTTTCGTTGCTGGGTGTACCTTCATTTGGCTGGTTGTTATTCCTCTGACGCAAGAGTATTTCAGGAAATACAAGTTTGTGTCAGCCATTGATGCGTTCAGGAAGCTCCGAGATGACCCGAATTCACAGCTCTTGGACATAAGGGACAGAAAGAACGTGAAGTTTCTGAGGCCGCCTAATATGAAAATGTTTAATAAGGCAGTGGTGAAGGTTGAGTTCACTGAAGGGAATGAAGATGAGTTTGTGAAGAAGGTGTTGGAGAGATTCAAGGACGCGCCAAACACCGTTGTCTGCATTTTGGACAGGTAAATAGAGAAGAGAGAGAGAGAGAGAGAGAGAGAGACTTATGCAGCAATTTAAAGCAATTCTGAATCATGGAAAAGTAGACTAAGTAAAAAAAAAAGCTAAAAGCTTGAAATTTATGTTTAGAACAAAAACAGATTTTTTTTAGTATTTATATGATCTTCTCAATAGTTTAATTCGGCATATGCTGGAATAATGCTTGTACTTTACAACAAAAGTCCCTTAAGACTTACAAAACAAAGCCCAACACGCTTGGTAGATAGCTTATAGTGGTGTCCCTTAAGCATGCTGATATGAGTTCGATTCCTGGTCGTGTGTATGGAGAAGACTTTGTTGGAGGGAAAAACCCACTTTTGTTGTCTCTTTGAATCAAAGGATTAGTCCAAAGGATTAGTCTTTGGTTGTCGGGATTACTCTTGGTATACACAGAAAATGCCCTTCAACTTTAAGAGCCGCTAAGTAACATTAAGTGACAGAAAATGAATATGCTTTTGTCTATTTACCTACTAATATTTAAATCGAGCAGATACTAAATTTAAATAAAAGGGGCAATCAAGCTTGGAGAAATGAAAGCTGAATGAATTTTTTTTAATTAATTAATTGGAGTTTTGTTTGTGTTTTTCTTCCCTCATCTCATACCGGGATATAATAAATGTCTCAACAAATTTAGTTTTGCAATTTGAATAAGATATAATATCTATTGTTTATATTATGTGTTATGGAGAGTTGGGACCTGGGATACAATTTGGAGTGATAACAATCAAGTTTTCTAACCACTGTTCTCTCAACTTGATTTTATTTGCATGTGAAATCTTTCTGCTGAGTTTACACATGATAGATAATTGATATTTACCTTTATTCTTTCAAAATATTCCCTGTGAGGGAATGAATAGAGGATTTTTTTCAAACTGTGGTTATCTGGCACTGAAAGTGCCTGGAGATCTTTTGGCCAAAATTACATCTGCAACTCTGCATTTTCTTGTTTCTACAATTGGATGATTTGCTTTAATTATGGCTTTTGTTTGGACATTTCACCTATTTTGCTTTTCCTTCACATTTACATTTTACTAATTGAAAAAAAGAAGAAGATCCATTTATGGTATAACTCTGACTATGATTATGAGTCACGTTGTTAATGTGAGTAATATCAGTTTAACCATATATTCTACTCTATACACATCTGCTGAATTACTCACTTGTTTCTCTTTTGAGTGCAAGGTAGTTTTGACGGTAATTCCCTGAATGTTGCTGAATTACTATTCAAGAATGGTTTCAAAGAGGCCTATGCAATCAAAGGTGGAGTTAGAGGCCAGCAAGGTTGGATGGTATGACCATTCTCTTATCTTCTCTTCTACCTGTTGTTTGTTTAACGGAAAGTGCTGAACATCTTTTGCATTCAATACATATTCTTCTTCTCCTTATAGAGCCATTTAAATTTGACATAAGTTGGCATTCTTCATTCTCTCTATCAAAACAACTATGAAGCTATAGAAGATTCTTACTTTTTAGAGTATATAGAAAGACATAAGTAGGGAATTCAAAAATCAAATTTTGGAAATTAATACCCACATTTCAACTTGATACCGACTGAGGAATGTATGTATCTGGTTGTGGAAAATCTGTTCAAAGTAAGGTAATAGTCTTTGTGGTTGCAGGATATACAGGATTCCCTTTTACCCCCTTCCGTGCATATAAGGAAAAGGAAAAAAGCTTCACAAGAACTCAATACAAATGGAAATGGAACCATCCAGCAAAACGATAGTAATGGTGAGAGTTCCCTATCTCAAGATATCCCTCCTCTTGGAAACCAAACGACAGACAATGGTCATGCACAAAGGTCTGTAGAGTCCATTTCAGAAATGAAAGTTGGTTCAGTAGTGTCCTCTCCTTATCCGAATGTATGTTATCCTCAACTCTCACTCTCTCTCATTGTGTCTCCTCATGTTCTAACAATGCATGCTTAACAATTAATGTAGGAACCATCAGTTAGTTAATACTTAATTTGATTGTTGAGTTATGCAACTTGAACTTGTACCTCATTGCAGTCACTCAGCACAGATGTAAATTAGCATGAAATTTGTTCCTCATATTTGGGGTTCACGAATAACATCAATGATCATGCCATATTAATCATGACAAGTGCAATGCATACATTTTTCATTCCTTTCAAAGATTCATTCATAAATGCACACTTTGGTATGATTTGTTTGTCTCCATATATATATATATATATCAGGTTGGCATAAGGCACCAAGTAGAAATTTCAATTTTTTTTTAATTTAATGTGTACTCTAAATGTCTAGCTGCCTTGGACTGGGTTTAGTAATATGTAACTAACCCCAGGACAAAATATCCTAAGGATTTGTATTCAGCATCTTTTATCCATATTATAAAAATTTCAGATCTGAGAGGTTTCTAAACCTTAGAATGCCTCTTGTCCATCATCTTCAACTGCATGAACCTTGCAATTGGTGTTTTGTGTCCATTGAATTTTTTGTATTTAAACGAACATCGTGATGTAAAATTAAGACTGAACTGGATTTATCAGACTTTGGATGGAGATGTCCATTGGAGTATATAGATCTTGCTTCCAATCATAGAGATTCCAACTTTGTCAGTAATTTGATTAATTTTACTATTACGATATTTTTGTTTGCATGATTTTAAAACACGAAACATGGAGACAGTAAACCTCTCTGTGAAGTGTGTGTGCTGCTACTTTCTTACATGTTAAAATTTAGGGATTCCAACATCTTTGCCTTTCTTCTTTGCAGTACCCGGATTTGAAGCCACCCTCTTCTCCAACTCCATCAAAGCCTCAATAGTGATGTTGGTTACACCATACTCAACCCAAAAATGCAATCTGGTGAATGTGAAATCGTTTATTTTCTAATTTTACAATTATTCCTTTTCTGCCTCATGTTGAGTTTTAGAGGTAGTGTAAAGCTAATCACAAAACTTTAGCAACAAAGAGAAGTGAATTAGTTGAGCAATCGACAGGCTAAGATTGGCAAAACAATGTGAAGAAAAATGAAGGTAACTATTAAAGCATTCAATGTTGGATCTTCCTCGGCACAAAAATAAAAGTATGTGGCATTCATAATACCTATATACCGATATAAAACACAGTTTATGCGAATGGTATTAATGTGATATATTTGTTGCATTTGAATTCTCTTCCTCCATTCACTTCCTTTCCAAATACACTCTGTTTATGCAACTCCATTTTTTTCATTCGAATGCAATTCCATTTTTAATGTATTTATAGGAGCATTATTTAATCTTTTATTATATTTATTTATAATATTATTATAATTATCAATAATAAAAATAAAACTCTTATAAATTTAATTTTCAAATGATTTATAAGGTTATACTTATTATTGCAATGATTGTTATATATTTTGTAAATACAGAATGATAATTTTAAAAAAGTTCGGGTTAGCATCATAAAAAGGCATTTTTCCATTTTAGAGATTTAGCTATACATCCCAATCTAAAAGAATATTTATTGAAAAGCAAAGAAAAATTAAGAAAGAAACGTGAGGCTGGTAAAGATGCTCATTAGATATTTAGTGTGTTTGGTTAGTTTTTTTTTGTTTTTAAATGATTTTTTTTTATATTTTGTATGTTGAAGTTGAATTAAGCATGCTATTAACTTTGTATTTATTCATTGTATATATATATATATATATATATATATATATTTTTTTTTTTTCTTAATTTTGATGTGTCGAATAGAGGTATAAACAACTTGGACTGTCATGGAAATTGTCATTCCCAAGCATAGCGAGTCTGCTTTATTCTACCCTGTAAGTGAAATAAAATTCATAAAATTTTCTGAGTGGGGTATATAGGAGGGAAAAAAGGACACATTTTTCATTTTTAATAAACATTTTATAATTTTTAAATAAAAAATTAATATAAGCCTAATAAGTTAACCTTTGATTTGCTTTTATAAACATTATATTACACACTAACTTTTAAAAAAAATGTTTGCTTTCCTCTCTTCACCAAAATCCAATGCTCTAACTTTAAACACTGCAAGGAACATGTTGATTTTGGGTAAAATAAATTAGGAATTTTAGCATGAAGGGTTGTAGTCCACAATATGGGTTGGGATGCTAACCTATGATGTTCCCATGGACGACACTAATCCTATAAGCTAGATTTTGTCGAAAGCAGATAGAATAAAGAGAGATAGAGAGAAAAAACTTTAGAAAAATATTTTATTCATCGAATATTTTCAAAAATATCATAAAGTGTTAGTTATGGTATTTCTTAAGAATAAGTGATATAAAACTAAATAAAAATAAATGAAATAAGACTTACTTGCAGTACAGATTTTATACAATAAATTATGTGATCCCAATGATCCTACTATTATTGCTCTCTCTCTTTTGCTTCGTTATGAGTACATTGTACGGTGGAAGTTGTGTGCTTTTGAATGCTAGTTGCTCTATTTCTATAAAATCATACTTTTTTGTCTTTATGTTTATAAGCTAAGGCAATTTTTAGTGGCGGATTCGTGTAACCATAGAATTATAGAATTTTAGTGACTTCTAGGGAAAAAAAAATACAAAAATTACATAATGTTCTTTAGATGCTGTTTGCATTATTTATTAATTAAAATTCTTGATTTGAAAAGAAGTTAAAGAGATTAATCCTTTCTAAAAAGATGTTGGTATGTTACTTTATTATAACTCCTTTTTACATTTCACATTTTTACTCTTTTAAAAAAAATTATTCTACTTTTAACATGGGTAGCTCTCTTTCTTGATGAAGAAAGTAATCCATAACTTATTTATTTAAAATGGAATTAAAAAAGTTGGATTATTATAAAATAAAATTTATGATATCTTTTGTAATTGAAAGAGTTTATATTTTCTTTTACGCATAAAAATAATTATTTTATACTAATAAATAGTAGAGTTAATGGTTTAGTTTAAAAAAATATTAATATTATTTAATTTAAAATTTTCTTTCAAGTTTATAGATATCATTTTATAAATTCATGTAACATGTGATTATAATTCATTATCAAATTTGAACTCTCCTTAGAACAAGAAAAAATAAAAACATAATTTGAAAGGACCCCATTGTTTCCCCGGACTTTAAGGGATTTAGTATAGTTTTGGCTTTCTCCGTTTGTCATTTGTCAAACTTAACAGTGCTTCCATTTATTCTTTCTAAAAAGTTGAGATTTTGACTTAACGCGCGGCGTTAAAGTTAAACCCAAACCATTTTTCGATAAATGAGAGAAAGGTAAGCACTTCAAATTACAATTTCAGACACCATTAACCATTCTATTTCCCAACTGCATCGCATTATCATATCATATTAAGTTAATTTGAACTCAATCTTTAACCATTCTTCTAAACACACTGAGTTAATCAATCCCTGCATCACCATTAACATTACATTAAATAAGTATTTTATAAGTAACTTTAAAGATTTGATGATACAATTATTACAATAATATTTCTTGGAGTGTAGACTCGACTGCAGAGTAGAGTTAAGCAAGTTTTTTTCACTCACAGAACACACATTTCATTAATATTTTCTATTCTTAAATGAATGTATAGAAAAACAAAAATCAAGAATTTTAAGGGCCAGGGCTCTTCCCACCTTACATTACCTAATAATGCATACAATAAAGACACACACATGGATGATGAGGGATTACATTACATTCATTTAACTTATTCTTATTCTTACATGAATAATTTTTTAATAGATAATTGTATTTTAAATTTTCTATCAAATAAAAAAATTATATCTATACAAGTTTATATTAATTTAAATTTATTTAATTTACCATTGAAAATATAAAACGTTGTTTGATTATTAAGTTATTATTGCTAAAATTGTATATACTATTTTACACAAATTATTAAGATGATGAATAATCATAGAAAAATGATAAGATTATATAAGATTATATTTTATTTAAATTTAGTAATAATATAAATATTAATGAAACTTACATTGGTATATGTGTAAATAAAATAAAAATTAACTTACATCAATATAAAATATACAAATTTTCATATTATTTAATGATTTTATATTAAATATTTTATCTTAAAATTTTTGTTGGATTATGTTATATAAATTTAAATTTATTGTTATTAATATACACTAAATTTAATTAAAATCATGGATTTTATTTTTTGTGGCAACTAACAAGTGTAATTGTTTTTATTTTGTCTTTGACAGGAAGTTTATAGGTGAATATTTGTAAACTTAAGTTTAAATAATTTTTTTTTATAAATAATTTTATTTAAAAATTAAAATAATGTAATTTATATTTTATTTTTAAATTTATTTTATAATAAATTTTAGTATATTTTTAATGTAATTCAAAACTTAATATAGAACTAAAGATAAAATTAATTTTAATTAAATAAACTAAACAAAAATGATTTTTTATAAAACCACATTAAATTAAAATAAACATAATTATAAAACATTTCAACAACCATTCAAACATACATGAGATATATGAGACTAATTCTCAGATAGAAAAAAATGATAAAGCACCAATTCTAAGATTCAAATGGCTTAAAGTCATGTTTAAACTTGTATTATAATTATTCGAGTAAATAGCATGAATTGAAAGTATATCCAATTCAAACATTAAAAGTACGTTTGATATTTTTTTAAATGATTTTATATTTTTGAAAATAAAATATAGTATACAAGTAATAAATGCTAACTTTTATTATGAAAAAAAAAAACACGAAGAAAGGCATTGCCAAGCTAGTTATTTAAAATTCTCTTTTAATGTTAATATTTTGCTTTTATAATGAACAATCAATTTTTATATTATAAATTTCAGTTTTATTTTAAAAATGATCTAGTCACAAGTGTTTTTTACAACACATTTTTTTTTTATAATTTTTATATAAAATTAAATGAAAATTTCTCTCTTTATTTTGTTAACAAGTGAATATTTTAATTCTCAAATTATTTTAATCAATACTAAAGTTTTCTAATCAGGATTAAATATAATAAAATATTTACAAAATATTAGCAAAATAATATTTCATTAATTAAATTAAAATATTTCAAAATTTCAAAATAAAAATATTTTAAACATTTAGACTATTTGCTAGTTTGATGTAACATAAGTTATTAAAAAACCATTTTAATATACGAACATTGTTAATCAGTAGTTTTAGAAAACACGTTAAAGAAATAAAAAAATATTAAAAATTATTTTAAATAATTATTTATTTTAAATTTTTTAAAAGGCACCGTTATAACATCCATCCACAATTATTGCAATATATTTACATAACAAAAGACCAAATCTTGAATGTCCAATATATTTTCTTAAACAAGTAAGTAGTTAATTAGATATATTTTAGTTGTATTAAATTTAAGACATGTCACTGTATATTTGGTACTATAATACTATTTATGGGAATCACACTACTAAACTTTCATATTAAAAACAGCTGAATGGCAAGATAAAAAGAAAAAAGATATGCACTGTTTGGCTGTCCACATAATCAAAGCAACACACATACTTAGGTAGGGAGAATAATGCTCAATACACATTCATGAATGACCTTTGTTTTCATGCGTAATTTTGCTAGGAGCCAATGAACAAAGAATGTCAAAAAGTGATTTATAAAAAAAAGAAAAGGAGAAGAAAAGACAAGAGAAAGGAGAAAGAATGATTGGGGTGAAGTGGGGATGAACAAATAGCCCCCAACAGTGGGAATTTGCATAAAGATCAGAAGTTGGAAGTAGAGAAACAGAAAGACCAAGAGAATCTTAGCTGGATGCATTATGATTATGCAACACTTCACTGCCTAAATTCACTCTTTTCTTTCCCTTTTCATCTTATCATAAATTCAACCTTTTCACACACACAAAAACTCTTAACCTTCCCCACAAATTTGATTATATCCCTCCCAAAGTCCCAACAAATCTTCTTCTTCTACTTCTTCTCCCATTGCTACTACTTATTCCATACCCGCTTCAACCCTCATTCACTTAACCAAACAACACAAAATGCAAACCTTCTTCTTCTCAATATTCATATTCATCTTCCCATATGGAAATCAGCAACAAGTCTCATCCAAACCCTTCCTCACACACACCAACACCAACAGAAGGATCCTCCATGAACCCTTTGTGCCACTCAACACACTGTCACCATCAGAACCACCAAAGCCAGCACCTCCTAACCCATCCCCTTCAACCCAAAAACCAAAGTACCCATCATCCACCATTCCCACCACAGCCACAACCACAACCACAACCACAACCACCACAACACCAAACCCAAACAATTCACCGTTTTTCCCATTATACCCCTCATCACCTCCACCTCCTTCTCTGTCCACCTTTGCTTCCTTCCCAGCTAACATCTCTTCTCTCATTCTTCCTCACTCTCCCAAACCTAATTCCTCTTCCCACAAACTCCTTCCCATTGCTCTCTCCGCCGTCACCCTCGCCATCCTCGCTGTTGCCATTTCCGTCTTCGCTTACCATCGCCGCCGGAACCGCCGTGCCGGAAAAATTCTCCGATCCGACACCGACCTCCTGCCGTTTCACTGCAATGCCGAACCCGCCGTAGAAACCCGCAAGCTCCGGCACACGTCTTCCACTAGCTCTGAATTCCTTTACCTCGGCACCGTCGTGAATTCGCACAGAATTGAAGATAGCACCGATGCCGGCGGCGAGGACGCTCGGAAAATGGAGTCGCCGGAGCTCCGGCCACTCCCCCCTCTGGCACGACAACCTTCACTGCCGCCACCTCCGCCGCCGCGTGACGAGGCGGGTTTTACGACTGCGGAGGAGGAAGACGAGGAGTTCTACTCGCCGAGAGGATCGTCTTTGGGAGGCTCCGGCGGAACTGGATCGGGTTCCCGGCGAGTGTTCTCAGCCGGAAGAAGCGGCCACATGAGCTCTATCTCGTGCTCGTCCTCCTCTTCCGGTTCGCCGGACCGGTCTCACTCGATCACCGTCTCGCCGCCGGCGAGCCCGAGTCTCCGAAGAACACGATCAAAATCTCCGGAAATTCACAACCAACAACACGTGCAATCTTCTTCTTCTCCTTCGTTGTGTTCAACACCAGAGAGAACTTTCACTGAAGATGATGATACTCATTCTCTTTCCTTGCCACAGAACACAGCTTCGGAGAAAAACACAAATGACGCATTGAATGCATGTGCAAACGCACATGCACCATCATCGTCGTCGTCATCACCACCACCAAGGGTATCAAACGCTTCATCTTCAGCATTTTCTCTACCCTCTTCGCCGGAGAAGGTGACACGTCATCACAGTTTCGATCAGTCTCCGAGATTTTCGAGTTTCTCCGAGGGGCTAATGTTACCGGGTCTGTCATCATTGCCTTTGTCACCCGCACTGCTTTCATCACCAGAAACCGAAAGGGGTTTCAGTGTTACTTCAAATGAATTGGGAACAGGTTCTAATGGTGTGCCTGCGCTGCAGAGGAAACACTGGAACATTCCAGTGCTGTTAGCAACAGCAACACCCTTTGCTGAATCAGCTGCGGTTCCACCTCCTCCACCTTTGCCACAGAGAAAACACTGGGAAATTCCAGGTCTTTCCAGGCACATTGCTCCGCCGCTCCCACCGCCATTGCCGCTGTTACAGCGGCAAAGGAAACAGTGGGATGTGCCACTGGCAGAGGCCTCAACACCTGTCGGTCAACCCATTTCGAGGCCGCCGGAATTAGTACCGCCTTCGAGGCCTTTCGTGTTGCAAGGCCAAACAAACGTTTCCCCTGCAGAGTTGCCGGCGAGTTTGGGGGAAATTGAAGAGAATTGCAAGCCCAAGTTGAAGGCCCTGCATTGGGACAAAGTCAGAACAAGCTCTGATCGTGAAATGGTGTGGGATCAGTTGAAGTCGAGTTCCTTTAAGTATGATTCTCAGTTCTCATTATGAACTCTAATGTTTGTTAGTTTTTTAGCCTTTTAGATATCTCTTTGTTTTGTTTTCCCTTGATATTGTGTTGGATGTTTATGCTGTGATCGGTGTTGTTGAATTAAGTAAATTAAATTGGGTTGGCTGCAGATTGAATGAGGAAATGATTGAAACATTGTTTGTAGTGAACACACCAAACCCGAAACCCAAGGATGCTACTTCACACTCGGCTTTTCCCCTGCCAAATCAGGAGGACAGAGTACTTGATCCTAAAAAGTCTCAGAATATTGCAATCTTGCTGAGAGCTCTTAATGTCACTATAGAAGAAGTGTGTGAAGGACTTTTAGAAGGTATACTTTCTCATTCATGCCTAAGGTTATGACATAGTTTTCTGTAGTTTTTGTGGTAGACTGATATAGTTTTTGATTGGAGTATTGGACCTGTAATTAAACTACCCCTTGTATACGTTGTGGGATTATTTAAGGAAGAGGAAAATAATTTCAGTAGTCAATCCATTCTTAACATTTTCCCCCTTCATTAATATTTTATTTTTATTTTACAGTGGAACAAACTTATGTAGGTCACATTGTTAAATCACTTGATAAGATTCATAATAATAAAGATAGAAAACAGCAGCATTAGCTTACATTAATTTGGCAATGTACTTTTCTGTATGCAGTAGTTATATGTATATTTCTTATCTACGAGCATAAACAAAAATGTATAATGATGATTATCTGTGATTATTAAATACCACTTGAAGCTAGTAGAAAATTTTGGTCACCTGGCTTCCTGCTTTGAGAGTAAATTTTTTAGTTGCATTCCTTCTTTGTAGGATAATCTCATCTATGATACATCAGTTTTATAATTTAGTTCATGGATATCTTTTATTTGGTTCTCAAGGTTTACTAACTGGTAGAGATTTTCTTGCATCTTTTCTTTCCATGAAAATGAATTGTTATGGCTTTGTCGATAAATAGTACTTTTGCAGTCCACGTGCATAAGGGTTTACTAATCGATTATATTTCTAGCCACTAGCCCCAACCTTCAAATTTTACTCAGATACTGATGGTGCAACTAATTCAATTTACCTTTCTACAGGTAGTACTGATACACTTGGAACAGAATTACTCGAAAACTTATTAAAAATGGCACCAAGTAAGGAAGAAGAACGTAAATTGAAAGAATATAAAGATGACGCACCAACCAAGCTTGGTCTGGCTGAGAAATTTTTAAAGGCAGTGCTTGATGTACCTTTTGCATTTAAAAGGGTTGAAGCAATGCTTTACATAGCCAATTTTGAATCTGAAGTGGAGTATCTTAGGGCATCCTTTCAAACTCTAGAGGTAATCGATCCCACTCTCACTGGTTTATTCATTTTTTGAGGATTATTCTTGATGGTGTCAAAGTGATAAACTGATGTTCTGAGAGCTTGTAGGTTTCAAGATTTTATTGAAACTTTGAATGTTATAAATATGAAGTTATTTCGTTCTTTTTTTAATTTTTGGTTGGAAGTTATTTCTTTCAGTTATTTTTTCAAAATGAGAGCTTCTATTTCCTTGTATGAAATGACTTCTAGTTTCTACATCTTTTGATTGGTGCTTTTGCAGGCTGCATGTGAAGAGCTGCGAAATTGTAGAATGTTCTTGAAGCTTCTGGAGGCTGTACTTAAAACTGGGAACCGCATGAATGTGGGCACCAACCGTGGTGATGCAGAGGCATTCAAACTTGATACTCTTCTCAAGCTGGCTGATGTCAAAGGTGCTGATGGGAAAACCACTCTACTGCATTTTGTTGTACAGGAGATTATTAGAACTGAAGGTGCTCGTCTCTCTGGTACTAATCAAACTCCAAGCTCTACTTTGAGTGACGATGTCAAGTGTAGGAGGCTTGGCCTACAAGTTGTATCAAGTCTGAGTTCAGAGCTAGCAAATGTGAAGAAGGCTGCTGCTATGGATTCTGAAGTTCTCAGCAGTGATGTCTTAAAACTTTCCAAAGGAATTGCTAACATAGCAGAGGTTGTGCAATTAAACCAAACAGCAGGATCAGATGGAAGCAGTCAGAAGTTTACAGAATCAATGAACAAATCCATTAGAATGGCTGAGGAGGAAATTCCAAAAATTCAAGTCCAAGAAAGGGTTGCTTTGTCCCTTGTAAAGGAGATTACAGAATATTTTCATGGGAACTTGGCAAAGGAAGAAGCTCATCCTTTTAGAATCTTCATGGTTGTAAGAGACTTTTTAACAGTTCTTGACCGGGTCTGCAAAGAAGTTGGTATGATAAATGAGAGAACCATGATTAGTTCAGCCCATAAATTCCCGGTTCCAGTTAACCCAATGCTTCCACAACCCCTTCCTGGATTACATGGGAGGCAACAATATAATAACTCCTCAGATGATGACAGTCCATCACCTTAGCTATATTATTCATGTAAGCGACTTTTTGGCTGCTGCTTCTGAAATCTTGGAGCCAGGTGATTTTGACTGGTCACAGCCTACAGGTTTTGGCCAAACATGTATTTTGTTTCTTGTTAAATTGTAAAAATTTTTGTAAAAGATTTCAGTTTATGTAGATTATATATATAAAGTAAGATTTTCTTGGGGGAAACAGCCTGGATTTGTACGATAAGGTTGTTATAAGCATGTACAAAACTTTTCAATTATAGATAACCTTTGCCTGTAATTGGAATTTTAACCTATAATCAAAATTCAAGATGGTGCAAAAAGAATTTCTTTATAAAATGGTAATCTGAATTCTCCAAAGTCGGCTGAAACTTAACTGTTATGGGTCAGTTTCAGACCCCAATTTGGCTGCTGCTTTTGGATCATTCTGCTGTCACAATGCTTGATAATAGTTATTGTAATATTCATCCTCGCGCCTCCTTATTTCGTGGGATCAAGAATATGCTTAATAGGGATCGGGAATGTTGGATGGTATCATGCGTTTAGCTTTCTTAGTTGCTTATGGCTTAGCCCAATTTGGGCTCAGCCTTTGCTCTGGTCTACGAAGCGCGCGCACACTCAAATAGTAACTAGTTCAGTCCCAATAGTATCAGACATGTTAGATAATTTTTAATATTTTATCATGTTTATAATATACGATGCTCATTTTTAGAACAAATTCTCCCATGATCAGTGTTTATTCTATTTTAATTTTATATATTATAACCTTGTCATGTCATGATTTTATAAATCCATCGTATCTTCACGTTCGTGCGCTATTCAGTCCACGTGGTATTCGTGCTTCCTGTTGTCTTTTATTGTTTACCTTACTTTTATATCTGTTGCTTTTGAATAACTAATATAATGACGCATGAAATTTTGAATATTAAATTAAAGGTTTACTTTTTAAAAAAAATTAAGAATTCATAAATACAAAAGATTCCCCGCCGAAATCCGAGCAATGGATTTATATGCAATGATGTATTATAGCTATTCTCTTCTCTGACTATTTTTTAACATACGGTTTTGCTATCCATTGCCTTTAGAAAAATTGTAAAGAACTTACAAGTAAAAAAAATATATTGAAAAGTATAATATTTAACGTTACAAATGCATTTTCATTTGATTTCTTAATCATTATTAGGGGCAATGGCAATGGTAAGTAAAACCATTTTATTTAAAGACAAATTGCATGTTGTATACATTATGACATTTGTAGCACCTGATGCGATAAATGCTGCTGATAGTATAGCAAACAAAGGATCACATGCAAAATAGCGCAGTTTGTCTTGTTACAAATGCGACACTACTACTACAGAGAGGAGAAGAACTAAGGTGGATGTAAAACTATCTAATCAAAACTTTCAAATACTTTTGATTAGATCGGATAATTTTACATGCACCTTAGTTTGCCTTCCCCTTTGTAGAGTAGTTTCTCATTTCCAAACAATTGTTGACCCAAAAAAGAAAAGACTTCCAAATAATATCTCAAAACTTTGGTATCACTTGTTTTATAATATATGCCTAACAACGAAGCAGTTACCACAGCCATCATTTATGGTATTTTTGGACAAATTTTATTTAGTTTTCTTTCATTAATTTTAGTTCTCTTTCCACATTCTACTTGTACAGCTCTTAGGTTCACAAAGCTGCTTAATCAAGGTTTAACATTACATAGAACATGTGAAGACAACCAAGGGAGTGATGTAGTCTAGTCTTTATCTATGATATGAGCAGGTGCCTACAGAAATCAGGTTCATATACTTATCTTAGCACCAGTTGCATTCTATCAAGTCCAATCATGCTAGCCATATAAGGCACACTGGTGCCGACATTGATTGGATGGAAAAAATTACTATAAAGAGCTAATCTTTGAACTTCTTCTTACATACTAAGTAGTAGACATTTTAAATACTTTACCAGCTAATTGTTGTTTCTCATCTTATGTTCTGAAATATTCATTCAAGTTGTCAGCATCTATGCGCTCTAATATACGGCTTGCTTCTTCCTCTGTTGCAGGGACTACATTTCGAAGTTTAAATCCATTTTTCATTGCCTTTGCCTCTGGACGTACTGTGAAAGTGAAATGGAAAGTATTTGATACCTGTTATCACACAGCACAGCAGAACAGACAAAGCTGATTACAATCTTCAATAACTAGGAAGTTAAGAAAATATAGAGTGATGACTAATGATTGTGCATTGTCTGGAGTGTAGTCTATTAAAACTAACCTCACTGGAACGCAGTTCAGGTCTTGTAACATGAGCAACAACTTCAACATTAATAAGTGGTTGATCTGGATCGTGCACCTCAGTGTACAGAACACATGATTTGAGACGCAAGAAATCCCCAACATCAACCTGTTCAATGGTTTCTTTTAAAATATATGAGACTGGACAATTGTCTGTTTTTGATATTTTTGTCCTTTCAAATCACTCAAAATATGGGTAAAACAAGTTTTAGGTGGGGGTGGGTGCCATGGAAATAGAAGAGCAGAAATGCATTTCCATGATCATTATATGTGAGCAGTTGTAAGTACACCCAAGGTCCTAGAACCACACACAATATCACCAGATTACATGTTGTATTTTATTAAAAAGAGAAAACAATTTCAACTTGTAATATAATCCTTCCCCTCTCATTCGCTTGTACTCAAAACAGGCAAGTAACAAAGAGATCACTCTAGACTTCGGATGTGAATCCAAAGTCCGAACAATCTTAAATTACTATATCATTTTTTTATGCAGGTAACTGTGGTTGAATTCAAATTGGTTGCAGAAATTTCAAAGATTGTGCCTTCTATGCAAAAAATAAAGAACAGCCAAATTTGATATTTGTAAAAGGATGGAGAAAATACTCACAGGTCTTAGGAAATCAACATGATCAACCTCTAGAAAGTAAGGAACTAATCCAGCAAAGGCATATGCCGTGGAGAAAGCCAATTCAAATGCACGATGCATCAAGAAACCTCCAAATATTCGACCATGAATGTTCCTTTGTTGTGGCTGGCATATTAAAGAGTTCTCAAGGCTTGTATCCCTTAGAAGAATGCTGTCTCGGTCAGCTAAGGCTGGCATATCACAGAAAATTCTACCCTCAGCCAGTAGGGCCTGAAGTCTATTTTCTTCCCCATTCTCCCACTCCCTTTTCTCCCCTCCTCTTTTCCTTTTTTTCAAATTATTTCTTGCTTCAGCTTGTTCAAAAAGAAGTTTTTCATTAGCAGTTTCAGGTGAAATCCGATTCACTGGAGCTGCCTTCCCAGTTTTTGAATCTCGGGCAACAAATATGAAGTTAGCAGTTAGTGCTACTGAGTCTGAATCACTGCCCTCTGTGTGCATTTTGATGACGCATAAGTTGTGGAGAAATTGTGGTTTAAATATAAGAACAGAAAATAATAAGTACCTAAGGAATTGTTAAGGAAATTTAAGAAAAAACCAAAATGAGATTACTCCATTATAACTTAGGAAGGTTTGTGCAACAACACCACCAGATATTATTATGTGGAGGATGCAATGAGAATTGCTTTTGCTTTCAAGGTTCATGCAACACAACGAACACTCTCATAAGCAGCAATGAAAATTGACAATTACTCAACTTGTCAAAGATATGTGTAAGCCTAAGAACTGTACCTTCGTTGGACTGAGTAACCTCCAGTTGAATCTCTATTGAGGAGCGCCCAACCCATATAACAGAACCAACTATTTTGAGATCGATGTTAACACTAATTGGCTTCTTTAGTACAATCTTATCGACAGAAGCAGTGACAACTATAAGTGGCCTTGTTGTGCTAGCTTCATCAGAACAGTGCTATTCCACAAACAAATAGCAAATAGCACAATCAAAATACTGGTATATGAAATCTTGATTAAAATTTTCAATGGAGACATTTTGCTTCAAATAACAGAAATAAGCTAGTCAAGTACTGCTCTCAACTCATTGCAAGAAAGGCCAAAAATCTACTAATTAGATATAAATATTCAGTTCAGGTTTCCAAATTTAAATGAATGTTTAGGTAAAAACTTACTGAATACAATTAGCAAACTACATTTGACCTACTACATAACAAACATGTCATTCACCACAAATGCCATTCATCAAAAGTACAACCTAGCTTGAGCTTCTCATAATCATATTACAAGCATTACCCACATAATCAATTCCCATAGATCCCTCAAAATTTCAGAAAACACAACTAAAAATAAATTAAAAAAAAAAAAACTGAAACAACTAATGCCTGTCATCAATGTACAACCCAGTTTTAAGTTAAACCCCATCCCAATAATAAATTCCCATAAAAACAATAAAAATTTAAACACTTATAAAAAAGGAGAAAGTTTAAATAATGTGGCTAACTTTAATTTTAATTCTCTATTTTTTTATTTTTTATTTATAAAACACCTATTTTATCATTTAATGATTACAAAACATAACACGAATCAAATTATCTTATATTAATTATTAAGGGATGTTCTACACATGTCACCCTATGATTAAATAAAAAAAAAACTAAATTTAAATATTTTAAAATTTACGAAAATCAAAACTAATGAAACAAAAAAAATTAACAATTCACCTTGACAGAAATAGTTCCAGCTAAAGCATCAAGATCTTCCAGCAACTTTCCAATTCGAACCTCATTCCAAGGATCCCTATACTGTTCTCTAAGCACAAAATCAGAGGAAAAATTGTACAAGATGCTGGTTCTGCTCTGTGAAGGGGTTCTTGTGAGCAATTCACTTTGAGGTGGAGCATCCCTTGGTGGGTCAAGAAGCCTCTCAAAAATTTTGGTCCTTGCTTCCCAAAGAGCAGTGGTCACAGGAGAATGGTACATCCCCGGCCACAAGGCAATGGGTTTCCAGTCATCGGAACTGTTGACCGAAGAAGGGTTTTCCAAAGGGGCGGTGATAGTGGCCATAGTGGACGCAACGGGGATTGTTCCATTCACCGAAATTGTGTAGTTGGAAGCTGAGGAATTCAACTCCATTGTGTTTTTGTCTTTCATGCTTCTTCTGAAGACACACTTATATATATAGGCATGACTATTCCTTCATTTTTTTTTTCCCCTCAAAATTTTTTCCTTTTTTTTAATGACATATTTTTAGAAAGTAATTTTCATCCAATTGGGTATATTACGATAAATAATATATATTTTTAAAATAATTAAAAATTTATTATTAAATTTGAGATTAATTACTAAGTTAAATAATCTATGATAATTCATCTACATGATCTATGATAATTAATGTGTAAAATTAACTTATAATTTTCTTAAAAAATATACACAAAACACACATATAATTTAAATTTTTTTTTAAGAAAATAAGTTTTAAAACATAAACTATTATTTTTTTAAAATTAAGTTATATCAAACATGTTATTCACTTAGTTGACTGGAGAGACCTAATCCAAAATTGTATAATTGAGAACATTTTATTTTAGGTAGATTAGTTATATTTCTACCTTTTTTTTTCTAATGTCTCAAATTTTAATTTATTTGTGAGACATAATCTTAAAATTTATGTATATAATATATATATATATATATATATATATATAAATATAAATAATAAATATATTTGTATGTTGCACGAATTTGTACAAATATATTTATATTTTTATTAGTTAATTTAATTTAAAAATAATTATAATTTAAATAATTATTTTTAATGTAATAAAAAATAAAAATTTAACTTAAACATGTTTTAACTATTTTTAAATAGGATTTATTTTAAATTATTACTTATTAATTATTTTTATTTTAATGTCTAACTAATTTTTTTAATTTTGTACCTGACATTAACTTCTGTTACTTAAATGGTGACGTGACTTAAAGTTTGTCACATTATTTCAATTCCTCTCTTCCAGTTCATCCTTAAATTTTCACGTCACAAATTCATATCAACATTTTATTTTTTTTAAAAAAATTAAGATTTAAGGTTCTTTATGCTTGAATTTTAATTTTTTTTATTTTTTAAAAATAAAATACTAATATGAATTCATGACATAAAAATTTAAGAGTAAGGTAAAGAATAGAGATTGAGGTGACATGGTAAACTGTGATCTACTTTACCATTTAATTGACAAAGGTTAACATCATATACAAAATTTTAAAAAATTTAGTTAGATATTAAAATAAAATAATAAATAGTAATTTGAAGTAAATCCGTAGTTAAAATATATTTAAGCCTTTTTATTATTATTTTAATAATATTGAACAAAATAGGACAATAATAATTTTTTAATATTATTTAATAAATTATCCCATGAGAATGATTAATACTATGTGCACATTAGGCAATTAATGTATAAATGCAACATATATTTGCTTGGCATTTTGAGCAAACACATAAGAACTTACACTTTGCTATGAAAGTCTCTATTCTTCAAATTCAAGCCAAAAGAATTTTTGCTTGCTTTTATTTTCTAATCTAAACACATAAGGTTAGGTAGCTTGTTTGTTGTATTTAATCACATTTTATTTTCTTCTAAAAGGGATGGGAAGCTTTATTTGAAGCAATGACTTTAGCAAGCAAAAGTGAGTACTATAGTTGTATGATGTGCACATAACATCGACCATTTTAATATGATAACTTATTAAAATAATAATAATAATAATAATTTACTATCGTCTTATTTCATCTGATATTATTAAAATAATAATAAAAATATACTATCATTTTATTTTATCCAATGAACATGAGACATGTTAATTTTTGGAATGATATTGATTATCTTGGAATAATAACATATTAAAATAACAATAAAAATTTACTATCATTCATGCAGTAGATGATATTACTGTTAACATGACAAAAAAAAAATAGACAAAAAATTAATTTTAAAAAATATATTATTTAAGTAAAAAAGTCAAAATAATGTTATAAAATGATACCATTGTATTATAATTATTCACATTTTTTTAATAAATTTTACAATATTATTTGGTTATTAATTTTTCAATAAAATTATATTTTACAAAAACAGTTTCATAATGATATTAAAATTGATATGATATGTATTTTTAAAATATATCAAAATAAGAATTATTTGATTGTATATTTATTATTGTTACGAAGAAAATCATTACAATTCACAACTTCACTCTATAATAATTATTAATAATCAATAGAGTTTAATTTTACCATATGTTTAGTGTAAACCAATTAAATAACATTTCATTTAGTGTATAACTTTTAAAGTTTTAATAATTTTGTATGATATAGGTAATCATAATCAGTTGACAGTATACAGTTCTTTACACTGACAAAATATTCTAATTAAATTCCAATAAATATATAACAAAATAAGACATCAAAGTTATATTTATTTATAGGAAACCCGTGCTTTACAGAGAACATGTAAATGTGAAGAGAACAAAGTGCAAGGGAAGTAGATAAATTCTTCCACTATGATATCAGATTCATGATATAATTGTATAAGCACCAGTTGCATTCTATTTTGCACCCTCAAAAATTGGAGCAACAATTATTATACTTTGAACTTGTAATCACATAACCACATAATTGGATGTTCCAAAAAACTCGTGCAAGTTGTCAGCATCTATGCGCTCTAATATTCGCTGTGCTTCTTCTTCAGTTGCTGGCACCACATTTAGAAGTCCATGTCCTTTTTTCATTGCCTTCGCTTCTGGACGTACTGTGAAAGTGAAATAGAAAGTATTTGATACCTGTAATCACATAAAAGACAAAACAGACAAAGTTGGTTAGAATTTTTAAGACTTAAATATATTTTTCATTCTCATATTTTATTGAATTTTTTGTTTTTAATCTCTAACGATGATTGATCCATTAAAATACTGTTAAGTGTTAATTTTTTAGTTGACTACATTAATATTAAGGACTAAACATAAAATTTTATGAAAATCTAGAGATTAAAATAAAAGAATTTGTGCCAATTTCAATATTAAGTTGAAAGTTGTAAGAATAAAAAGATCAATTACATAATGATTATGTGGTGTCTGAAGTGAAGTTCAGTTAAGGCTAACCTCACTAGAACACAACTCAGGTCTGGTAACATGGGCAACAACTTCAACATTGATTATTGGCTGATCTGGGTCATGAAGCTCAGTGTACAGAACACAGGATTTGAGACGCAAGAAATCCCCCACATCAACCTGTTCAACCATTCTTTTTATGAGACTAGCTGATTATTTGTTTTCATTATTTTTATCCTTTCAAATCATTCAAAATATAGATAAAACTAAAATAGAAAAGTATCATTCTTAAATTTGAACTTGAGCCCAACCAAAGTAGCTCTTGCAATGAGAATTCTCTTTAACTTGTATAAACTCTAATTTAGTCGTATATATAATTGATGTGAGGTTTTAACACATTCCCTGTCAAAGTTAGTCCAATATTAAATGTATGATTAATACTTGTACCACTTTAAATTTAAATTAAAGTCTAACTCAATCTCTAAAACTAGCACAGGATTACCTTGGTCAAAAAATTAAATTTTGTATTTCACCCAACAAACTATTTTAACATGTAATACTTCTCTTCTCTTCTTACTCACTTCCACGTACTGAAAAATGCAAGGGACAGCGAAAATACTCTAGATTTTGGATGACAATTCAAACAATATGAAACACTTGTGTAATATTTAATTTGTTTTTGGAAGTAAATGTGGATGAGTTCAAATTGGTTATGAAAATTTCTAAGATTGTGCCTGTTGTGCACATTATATACGTCAATATAACCATATAGCAGATTTCACTGATGTGCTACATTATGCATGTAAGGCTAAAATTTTGATAATTTAAAAGGTTGGAGAAAATTAATACTCACAGGTCTTAGGAAATCAACATGATCAACCTCTAGAAAACAAGGAACTAATCCAGCAAAGGCATATGCGGTTGAGAAAGCCAAATCAAATGCACGATGCATCAAGAAGCCACCAAATATTCGACCATGGATGTTCCTTTGCTGTGGCTGGCATATTAAAGAGTTCTCAAGGCTTGTATTCCTTAGAAGAATGCTGTCTGGATCAGCTAAGGCTGGCATGTCACAGAAAGTTCTTCCCTCAGCCAATAGGGTCTCAAGTCTTTTTACTTCTCCATTCTCAAACTCCTTTTTTCCCCCTCCTCTTTTCTTTCTTTTCAAATTATTTCTTGCTTCAGCTTGTTCATAAAGAAATTTTTCATGAGCAGTTTCTGGTGAAAACCGATTCACTGGTGCAGCCTTCCCAGTTTTTGAGTCTCGGGCAACAAATATGAAGTTGGCTGTTAGTGCTACTGAGTCTAAATCATTATCATCTGTGTCCATTTGATGACGCATTGCATAAGTTGTGGAGAAATTGTGATTTCAATATGAAAAAATGATAATCAAAATGAAGTAATATTTTTATAAAAGAAAATAAAAACCAATGAGAAACGCTTTTGCTTTCAATTAAGGTTTATGCAACACCTTGAACACTTGTCATGAGAGGCAAAGAAATTGAAGTGTGTTTGGAGTGTGTCAATTACTGAAATTGTGAGGGATAAGCGTGAGCCCTGAGAAATGTACCTTCGTTGGGCTGAGTAACCTCCATTTGAATCTCTATTGAGGAACGCCCAACCCATATAACAGAACCAACAATTTTGAGATCAATGTTAACACTAATTGGCTTCTTTAGTACTATCTTATCCACAGAAGCAGTGACAACTCTAAGTGGCCTTGTTGTGCTAGCTTCATCAGAACAATGCTATTCCATAAACAAATAGCAAATAGCACAATAAAAAAACTGGTACATGAAATCTTGATTAAATTTACAATGGATAAGAAAGAAAAAAAAAACAGTTTGGATATATATTTTTTATCTTGGTAAATATGAGTATATGATTAAATTTAGTTTTAGTCTTTTAATTTTAGTTTTTTATAATTTTAAAATTTTTAAAAATAATATGTGGTACTGGTTAATAATGATGAAACATGTATCTTGTTATATCACATCAGTGACTATTTTCAAGTAAATATAATGCATGTTATGTCATCATTTAACAGTAATAAAAATTATTTTACAAGATTTAAATTTTATAAAGACTAAAAATTAATTTTTTTTGAGAAATACTAATTAGTACTTTTAAAGTAATAGTTAAGGAATTAAAAGTAAGAACTTTTCATTAAAAATGATAAAATTTATTGACTTCTGTGTTTATCAATACATTTTAACACGATTTTTAAGAAAAATATTTATTAATTTATTAGACAGTGTCCTTAGAATATTACTTAGTAATATCTAATTTTTTAAGGATTTAAATTAAATTAACTATATTTATAAATATCAAATGGATAATATTTAAATTAAAAAGATTTAAATATATGTTTAGTCTTAATATGCTTATGAAATTTTAATTTTAATCCTTAAGAAAATTATTCTGATTTTAGTTTATAATATTTCCAAATTCAACACTTTTAATATATTAATAGTAATATAAAACATTAAGAGGTTGCACTTGTTAAATTTTTTTATCAAGTGATGATTTTTTATTGTGTTATATCATCACTAAAACTAAAAGTGTTGAATTTAAAAAATAAATAAAGGTCTATAATTCAAAGAAATTTTTTGAAAGGATAAAATCAAAATCTTAAGAAATTGTAGAACTAAAAAAATATTTAAGTCGATAAAAATTTAGTTCATATGCTTAATATCATTTTTCATTTTCATTTTTACATAAAAATATTTTAATCTCTGTACGATAAATCTGATATGAAATGGTCCTTGCCATATACTACAACAGTATTAGATTTCATTTCTATACTTACTAATGTATTTTGTTTTAAGACTTACATGAAATGAATTTACACTCTATCTTGTTTCTTCGATAAAATATGCTAAGATTTTGGTCCTTTCATTTTAATTATACAAAAAAATAAAAAACACTTTAACACTGATAATATCAACAAATGATGAAAATTATTGTTTTAAATTATAAAAATCAAAATTAAATTTTTTATATAAGAACTAAATTGAAATGAGTGTACATGTAGGAGAAACTGTAACATAGTACCTTGAAAGAAATAGTTCCAGCAATGGCATCAAGGTCTTCGAACAACTTGCCAATTCGGACCTCATTCCAAGGATCCCTATACTGTTCTCTAAGCACAAAATCAGAAGAGAAGTTGTAGAAAATGGTGGTTCTGCTCTGTGAAGGGGTTTTTGTGAGCAATTCACTCTGGGGTGGAGCATCCCTTGGTGTTCCAAGAAGCCTCTCGATTATTTTGATCCTCGCTTCCCACAGTGCAGTGGTCACCGGAGAATGGTACATCCCGGGCCACAATGATATGGGTTTCCGGCCACCGGAACCGTTGATAGTGGCAAAGGTAGAAGCTGCAGAGATTGTCATTGTAATGTTCCAAAGAGAGGAATTCAAATTCAATTGTTTTAGTCTCTTGCATGGTTCCTCTATGGAGACAGGTATATATAGTCACGAGTCTTCACTTTTTTCTATTCTTTTTCCCACGTGTACTCTCTTTTACTTAAACAGTTCCTTTAATATTTATTTTACGGTTATAAATTAATTTTTTTATATTTTTAATAAACCTATGTAGTTTAATGAAAATATATGAATTAAATTAATCTATATTTTCTTTTAATTATATTTAATAATTTACATTTATTTTTATATAACTTTCATTATGTCGATATCTATTCTGAATATGTTTGGATTGCAAATGTTTTCATAACATAAAAATGAAAAAAAAAGTTATTTTATTTAATTTTGAGGTTTGTTTTTAAAGATATATACATTTAAAGCAAATGATAAATTAAAATGATTATTTTAATATTATATACGATATTGATTTTTTGTCTGAATAATTAAATTTGTTAAATAAGCTCTCACAAATCTTGTTTCTAAATAGCAGCTTTTTTTAAGGGTAAACTAGTAATCAACTTAACTATCGTTATACTTGTGTCTTTTCTTTAGAGCATGTTTAGGTTAATTTTAAGTGTTTATTATTATTTTTATTTATGTTAACTTTTTATTTTTTAAGTATATAAATAATAAAAATATTTCAAATAAAAATTATATAAATGAGAGTAACAATAAATATATGAAAATAATAATAAAAACCCTCTTTCTTCTAACATCCTACTTAATACTAAACGATGTATTATTTTATTCATGGTTGAATTGAGATCTATCTAATAATAATAATAGTAATGTTTACATTGTCATATGAATCTTTATTCATTTAAAAAATAATATAAAATGATTCAAAATAAATTTAAACTATTTATTTTTTTTATAAAATTTATTGTACTTCTTTTAATTAAAAGAGTTTAATATTTTTTTATATAAAACGAAAGTTTAATATCCTCTTTTATACGTAAAATAATTCTTTTTTTAATTAAGAGAATTTAATACCCTCTTGAATATGTGTAATAATTTTTATTATTAATTTTATGTAAGCAAATAACAAAGTTAGCAGTTTAGTTAAAGAAAATGTTAATATCTTTTTTAAGTTTAATTAATTTTTTAAAATTAATTTTAAATATTTTTATATTAATTTTAATTGAATTTTGATTAATTAGGGCAATTTTTGTGCTTCCTTGCAGCTTTATCAAATTTTGGAGACGTTGAAATGAATAATTTTATCAACTTATAATACAACTAATGGAATTGACTGATGTAAATTGTAATTTTGTTAACCAAGTGGTGTGCTGTGTGCCACAAATTTAGAAGGACAGGGTCAACAACATTTACATGTGTGGCCCCAAAACCAGCTTTCTACTTCTACACAGTTGGAATTTGTCTTCTCCTTTCTCTTAATCAGCTCTGTTTTCATCCTCTTCCTATAGCAACAAAATTTAGAAGAAGTGTTTTATATATTTTTGGTATTATTTTTATTTCAAATTTTAATTTAAAAATTTAAAATAGTCTATCTAAATTATATTTCTCTCAGTATATTGAGACAAATAATGTCACATGTGATTCATTAACCCCATTTTGATAAATTAAAATCTTCAACAATAATTCTGGTGATCAAATAATTGAACAACTTATTTACTATACTTAGTGCATTATCATGAAAATTGGAAATAAAAAAGATGCATCTTGTTCGTCTTGAATGATAACAATAAATTATAAATTGGTAAATCATTTAATGTGAAGCAATGAGACACCGACAGCACTCACAGCAGAGTTAGTGGTGCTTCTGCATTATAATTTGTAACGCCTTTCTTGCCATTGGAGAACCAAACGTTTTCAACTTATTCATACACTCTTAATTAATAGTATATTAGTTGAAATTTATTATAAATTATAAAATTAAGAATAATTCAACAAAATTACATTGGTTGCCCTTGACACGTGTTGTGAAGGAAAACAGAGTGCGAGAGCTCTGCTTGTTAATTATTTTTCCGACCACCAAACGGGAAACCCTCTCAACCTCTAATAGGGCCAAAAGAAACTAGAAATCAAGTTTTTCAGAAGGATAATTTGGGAAAATCACAATCATTTAAATAGTTCATTCATCTACACTTTTGAATTATTTATGCAGTGTTCAACAACAGTCAAAGTTGAGTAGTTCATGATGAAGAGGTTCTACCACCATCCATCTTAGATATCAGTGCAATAAAGTGTTCACATATTTGTTACATTTTCAGGAAAAGTGTGAATTAAAGTGAGTTATTTCATAATAACATATAATTCTTTTTACTGTATTGAAAATTTGAATAATTGTGTTAGATAGTTCAAAAATTATCAAAAGTGAATATTTATAATTTAAAATTTTAACTTAATATAAAATTTATTTACCATCTTAATTATTTGCGAATAAGATTTATAAATAAATTATTATGTTTAACTTTAAATAATTTGATAAATTTAAAATATTACAATAATAATCATAATAATTTTTTTATTTTATTAAGATTTTAGTGTATGGACTCAATCCTAGATTAAAAAAGAGTATGAGTTATACTTTGAATGATCTATTTGTTTAAAATAAATTTTGCAATTTAAGAGATATGATTCTTTTATTTATATGCTCTTTGATTTGTTATTAATTCACTAACGTAAGACTCTATTATGTTAACATTCTTTTAAGTTTTAATAGCTTTAACTCAAACTTGCATTTTTATTTTTATTTTTAGTTCTAACTTGTATTTTAAGTTTGAGCTTTTACTGCAAAATTTTTTTATTGCATGAATTTATGCTTCTTTTTTTTAATTTTTTAATGTCACAAATTTTATTTATTTATTTGTTTATCCATTTTTTGTCTTTAATTTTCTCTTAAAATCTAGACTCTAATACATATTAAAATTTTAATCTGTAAACTTAATTTAAATTTGAGGAAGAGTATAAGTAATAAGTTTAAATAATGATTTATTTGTCTAAAATATCTAAATAATTTAAAATTATATCAAATCTGAGGGTTTTGAAACATGATCTATTAAAAGAACTGTTTTGTTTGTTTTTCTTAAATAAATACGAGAGATGTGACTTGATAAAGCTTTTAGTTACTATCCTCACATCTTTTCCAATTATTTTCAACCTTACATATTACACTTATAATCAATGGACCGCATTATTGTTACAGCGATGAGCTTTTAAATATATGTATAGTTTGATTTTAATTCCTTTTATTTAGCTTTTGAATAAATTAGTACGATGATTTCATCATTTTTTGAAAAATATGTAGTAACAGATAAAAAAATTGTTAAGTGTTAAATTGCATTTGTTATTATAGTTTTTGTTTTTAAAAAATTATCTGTTAGTATATACATTACTATGCTAATATTTGATGTATTAATAATATATTTTAAATAAAAATCATACTAATAGAAGTTAATTTAACACCAAAGTCTTGAGACATTTTTGAAGTGCATATAACTTGGATTTTCATGTAAAAATTAAAAGATTTTAGATTAAGAATTTAATCGAAATACATTATATTTTAGATTAAGATTTTATATTTATATTTTGAGGTTAAGGGAAGTATTTACCCCATCCATGATTATACTTGGTTCATCCATAGACAGGACACCATTATCTTTGCTCAATAATTTTGAAACAACAAAAAAGGGCCATAGACGTTGGTAGAAAGGCAGTGTCAGAAAGAAAGGGACACTTAGAAATTTCAAGATTTCAGGTTATTAACCATTTAGCGTACATCTTTGCTATTATGGAAGATTCCACAGTTCTTTATTTTCTTTCTATAATTAAGTTCTTTTCACTAAACTTTTTGCTATCAATTTTACTATATTTAGGGCCGTTGGTTTTCTCGTTCTTAGAACACAAAATTATTTAAATCAATTAACATAAATGAAATTGGATTGAGTTAGATTTAATTAATTTTGAGTTTATAACTTAAACTGAATCAACTTATAAAAAATAAATCAATTTTTGAACCGATTTTATCCAAAATTTCAAATTGATCCGTTCATTTTTCTTTAAATTACGTCGGATTTGTCAATTTAATTAGGTTTATTTAATCAATGACACCCCTATCATATTTTGATCCAACAACTTCAAAATAGAACTAATCGTTAGTTTCATTCTCAATATATTATTTGGGTATGTTTAGACATAGATATGGTTAAAAATAGACATAACTAAGTAATTAATCTTATTTTTATTTCTATAAAAGTTTGATTTAGCTTCAGTTTTATTAAAAAAAATGATATAAACTTAATCTGAGTCTTTCATTTAACTTAAATTTAACGGGTTATAATTTATTACTTTACTAACCGTTAGATTTAAGTTAAATGAATAACTCAGATTAAGTGTAAAAATTTTTAGACTTATATATATATATAAATTCTTATACTCGATCTGAACTTTTTATTTAACTTATATCTAACGGATTATAATTTATTACTTCATTGTCCATTAGATATAAGTTAAATAAAAAACTCAAATTAAGTTTAAAAATTTTTAGATTTATATTAATATGAGAAGATCTTTTTCCATATATGTAAATTTTTTTAAAAAATAATAATATTTGTAAAGACTAATTACTTAATTACACCACACCCTAAAGGCAATATGAAAATATGGGATCTTCATTTTTTCACATATTCATCGAAAGAGTTAAATGGGTAGAAAAATAAAATAAAATAAAATAAATAATAATATAAAAATAAAGTGAAAAAAACTAACAATACTCTGGAACCATACAAGACTCGTATAGTGAAGACTCGACACTTTTACCAGTTTTTTGGGCCTTTTGTCCCTCTTCTTTTTCTTTTTGTTGCCATAGTTGTCAAACTTGTCATAAAAATAATACATGTTACGTTGGTTGCAAATTGAAGACAAGTTGAGCTTAAGAATGCCTTTTTTTCTCTCCATTTTTTTAATGATTTTCTTTAAAAGTAAAGATATTTTTGTAATTATTAACAAAGTTAAGCATATAAACTAATATGTAGATAAAACACATACTAAACGCATCTTATAATTCTCTAAATTGATTTCATATATTTGAATGGTCACAGCATGTTCCTCCATTTTCCTCTTACCAAGAGCTGACAAACTAGTGGCTTATCATCTAATCATTTCATAAATTATTTGCACTTGACGATGAATTGTGAAACACCATTCTTGGTCATACATAAACTGTATTTTTATAAGAACATAAATGGTGCATTTGATCCTAAATTATAGCCAGGTCTTCTTTGTTCAATAAGCTATACCTAAGAACAATTAACTGCATGACACGTGAGTGTTTGTGTTCTAAATTTTGGGCAAATCTGACTTGTTCAATACCTAACAGCAATTCACCAAGCATTGCATGTGCGGATATGGCCCTAATTAATTTCATTGACTGTACCACATTCTCTGTCCAATCAACTACCTAAAACCAATCCACTAACCATTAATTATATACATGCATGCATCTCTCTTCTATTATTTTGATTTAATTATGTTTTTACGATATATTAATGATAATATACAATTAGAGCTAAACTTTAATTAAATAACTTCTACCTACTTAATAATTTTAAAGTTTAAGCCTCACTTATTATTTGTCATAAATTTTTTATTAAATTTAAACTTGACCTTTGTAAAAATTTGTTTTACCCTATTAATCTTTTTAATGAATTATTTTATATTGAGGCCTTTAAATAAATAAATTATTTTATTATTTTTGAGAAGACATTTTGTTAATTTTAAAAATAAAAAGAGAAAAAAAATAATAAAAGAGTTTCATATAATATAAATAAGTATTTAAGAAGATGAGACGAATTAATGATAGATGTAATTGAAATAGTAAATTAACATTATGCGTATAATATAGATTAAGTAACAGTAACATAAAAGATTATAACAAATATTACTCTTTCTCACACAGAACATACAGTACAATACTCTTTAACTTGAATGAAAAGGACTAATAGTTTCTAATTTAAAATTCTATCAATTTTAAAATATATTTTATTTAATATAATATATTATTTTTATATAAAATTATTTAATATATTATTATAAATTTTATGAATTTTAAATAAGCTTAATAGATTTTTTTGTAAATTTAAGTATGACCTATTTAATTAATTAAATTGATAAAAAAATTTAAATCAAATCTATTACTTAAATAGGTCAAGTCATATTAAACTTAAAAAAAAATTAGACCTAAACCCTTTCAGACACTCTAGCCTATTTTTATTCGTATATGCAATTTTGATCCTTCAAAACTTTTTGAATTAATTAAGTTCTTTAACTTATAAAATTAATGAAATTTGATCGCCAGTGATTTTCCTTCACTTAAAACGTTTTTTTATTTAAAATATTTACAAATTGAATCAATTAAATATCTTTTGCTTAAAAATTACTAACTAAATCTTAATTATACATCTTATACATAAAGTTCTTTAAATTTTATCAAGTCTACACTTATTCCTTTTAGACTTTTAAAATTATTTGATGTTTCAAATATATCATAAACCTTTAAAAAATAAGATGACAAATAATAATTTGAGAGATTTCAGTAAAAATAAAATAAAATAGTTAGGAATGCATCGAAAAAGTGTCATGAATTATGCTATTAACAGTCTTCAAAGAAAAATTGTATTGTAAGGAGGAGAATTCGGATCCAGATCCTTTGCATTCGAAATTTCTTCACTCATCGTTCAATAATTTTTTTTGTTATATTTATAAATTTTTAAGAATTTTAAAATAAAATGAATGATAGAGATTATTTTTCCCCCTCCTATAGAGGATCCATACTCGAGAATTCAATTCATATTAGCTTTTAATCTTAGACGATTCATAAAGAGAAAGATGTATAGGATAAAATTCTAGTGCTTTGGTATCTATTTTTATTAGATCACCCTTGATCTTAAGAAGGTAAAGAAAGCATTCTATGATGCATGTATTGAAGAAACATTATTGAAAGGTAAATAGGAGATTAGCTGTGATATCGCTGATGGTATAATGCTTGACAGATTTCATGGAAGCCAGCAAAGAGTTTGCAAAACATGTTTGCCACAATTTGTAAGGAATGGTTCACAGTGGTAACACCATGGGACCGACCCACGTGAACTTCAACCATGAAAGACTTTTTACATGGACACCATTTGCTATGCACACCACATACACAAATTCATATGAAACAATCACGTATATAAAAGTTTAATGAAAAGTTTAAGCTTCAAATTATTAATGAAAAGTTAAAATAAAAGGTAACACTATCTAATATCAATCGGAATAAAAGTTTAATTATCCAGATAATCAGCTAAAAAACAAACAACTGGACCACATGCAAACATTAATTAGGGGTGTGCTTGCTATTTATAAAGAAATTGTTATACACGATCATAACACACGTTAATTTTCAAACTAGAAAACTAAACACACTAAATTGTTATCATATAGCCACATGCATTTTTTAAATATGCATGTGGCTTGACTCAATAAATGTTATTGGAGAAATTCATGAAGCTTATTTTTATTAATTTCTTAAAATTCAAGTGTGAAAAAAAATGAGTTCTCAATTTTTATAAATAAGAGTATTTTTTATAATTTGAAAAAATAATGTGAATGAGTGTAGAAAATTATATTCATTGAGTGTTTTATCAATAAAAGAAAAATAGAGTTTAAGAGAAAATCTCATGAATATAATTTTAATTTAAACATAAGAGATTTTAAATATACTTTATAGTGCTATGTAATAGTACTGATAAATAGGAATAAATTTTACTAAAATCTTTTGTATTTAAATTATTATTTGATAGAGAGAATTATTCATTTTTTGAGTATACTTAAAGCTCATATCCATTAAATTTATCATAGACTTAAAGTATATTTAACTTTGATTTCCTAACTCTTTCAAATCAGAATTGCTAACCACACTGCTCAAGAATTAAAAACAAATATGAAACAATTATGTATACATACCTTCAAATTATTAATTAGGGGTGTCCTTGCTATGTATTAAAGAAATCGCTATACACGATCATAACACATGTTGGCCAGACTGTATTCAAACTAGAAAACTAAACAAACTAATTAAATCGTTATCATATAGTGCCATGGAAACTTCTTTTGGAGCTGTATTGGTAGATGTGTACGAATTGGAATATTTTAAATGCATAGGTCCTATTGAGCATGGCAAGAAGGTAAGTGTCGTGTGAAAACTGAATTTGACTTTGTATTTAATTGAATGCTGGTTTTACACTCTATATTAATTAATTTCGTTAATTATTCCACAACATAATTAACTTTAATTTCATCACTTGGAAGATTTGAACAAAGAAAAGCTCTTTGGTGTATATTGTTTAAAGTCGTTAAGTAAATCTTCAATGAAAAGCTAAACGTTTTATTGATAAAGCACCAGAAAGATTGCTCATGAACTTAATAAAATACAACATAATGCAAAGACTACAATCATGAGGTTATTTAGAACAGCAGAAGTACAAGCAGAGATAAAAGCTCAAGAATTAATTTGCGATTCCCTGCATGCTGCTTGTAAATTGAACAAGCTATTCACAAATTCTGAAATGTTTTTATGAGAACTCCCTTCCTCATTAACAGCTTGTGCAGCCAAAGCCTTCCCTTGCATAATATTGTTTTTAATTTCTTTGCCTCTCTCACTCTCCATTATTTCAATAATACAATGCTTTAATGCTTCTCCTCTCACAATCTTTTTTTCATCAACTGGAGCTCTAATTCCCATATTCCCAACATCTACAATTTGCTTAGCATTGGTATTCTGGTCAGACCATTGTGGCACTGCAACCATTGGAACTCCTAAGCACAGGGCTTCCAATGTAGAGTTCCAACCACAATGTGTTACAAAACAGCCGATAGCCTCATGAGCTAGAACTTTTAGTTGTGAGCACCACCTTATTACTAAGCCCTTCTCTGACATCTTTTCAAAATCTTTGGGAAGTTTAATTTCTTCTGAGGCTCTAACAACCCATAAAAAATAACTTTTACTATCTCTCAAACCATAAGCTAATTCCTTTATTTGCTCCTCATTGAGTACTGCCATAGACCCAAAAGAAACATAAACAACAGATTGTTTTGGTTTATCATCTAACCATTCCATGCAATATTCCTCACTCTTAAATTGCGTAACACTACAGTCTTCGTCGTATTGCTTGTTAAAAATTATAGATGTTACGCATGGTCCTATGGTCCTAAATTTGGACCAAATCTTCATCGTCCAATCAATTACCTACAAGCAATTTATATGCACCAACCATTACACAACAAAGGAAAAAAAAAAAATTTCAGGAAGGAAAAGCATAATTGCAACTAACCATAAAACCAGTTTTTTTTTTCAACCCATAAGAGTATAAAAGTGGCTGAAGTGCTAAACAATGGATGAGTCTTTCTATAGTCCCCCCCCCCCCCCACCCAAAAAGAGTTTTTCTGGTCAATAGCCCAAAATTTTTTAAAAATGCTTTGAGTGAGAGAAATTCACAATTTTCCAAATTATTTCAACACCCGTTTTAAAAAAATTTTTTTATTTTCATATAAAAGTTGAGATACTGACCTCTTTTTCCATCTCATAGAATGAATTGCACAAGATCCAATCAGCTTTGTCGAAATTGGAGAACTGATTCGCCAACATATCAAGCAAAATTGGATCATCTAAATATGTAAAGAAGAACGAAGGCATATCCTCGAGGTGAAGTTTGGGCAACATAGGAAGGGAAATCTCATTTTCTATCAGGGGAACATGCAACTTTCCTTGTTGAACATGGTAATATATGCTATTAACGAACATATTTTGAGTGAGGAAAACAGCCCCAACTATCCCAAATCTCTTTGCAACATCCAATGCCCAAGGAAAGAATGAATCATAAATAACACAATCAACTAGGTTATTTGATTTACCAAGTTTTTCAAGAAGTTCAGAAAGAGTCTTTGGCCCTACTTGCCAAAAGCGTTTCAAGTAGGAGTCGTAACTCCCTGCTTCATCAAGCCCACCATTGTCAAACCCATCAGAAATGGTTTCAAGTGCAATGGAATCAGGTGCCTTATGCAAGTTTTTGCAATATGAACGGGTTGTGACTAGTGTTATTCTCACCCCTTTGTCTTGCAAAAGCTTGGAGAATTCATGCATGGGATTGATGTGGCCTTGTGCCGGATATGCTAAGACCATGCAATGCACTATGCTTTTCTTCTCCATTTCTTGATAAACCTCTCTCTTCCTTGCTTTGTGGGGTGGAGGGTGAGTGCCTATTTATACTTCAGGAAGGATGATAATAGATAGCTCAAAATTTAGGTACATTTCTTAAACGTGTTTTTTTTTTCTCTATTGTTGTCAATTAAAATTAAAATTTTATTTTGTTGAATTGCAATAAAATTATGATATTAAAAATATTTTTAAATATTATATCTAAAATTTGTCCTAATATATAGTGTGCTAGATAAGCTGTGAAACAAAGTGTAAAATATAAGTTAAGGGCAAGGTTATATTGGATTAAGAAAAGATGGGTACACTTCGAGAGCCACTCACTGCTCTAGATGTGTCATTAGTCAACAATATTATTTAAATGCTGTTGATTTAAATAAGGTGTTGGTATTTGAAAAATATATAACTTTTTTATTTTATTTTTTTAAAATGTTTTCTTTAACTCATAATATATATAAGGTTGGTGTGGACAATGATATAACGAAAGAAGAAAATTTGTATAATAAATAATTATTTTTTTTATAAATTAGAAATAAGTTTATTTTTTTAAATGTTTTAGAAATAAATGAGAAATTGTTTAAAATAATTAAAAAATATAAATTATTTTTTAAATTTAATTTATTTTATTACTTAATTTTTTTTTAGTGTTATAAGTACTTGTTAAAAATTTATCCAAACTAAACTTAAGTTTGCTTAACTTTCACTTAATTAAGAATACCATTAAAAGACTAGATTTATAATATAAAATAAGTCAAATTATTTTAATATATTTAATTCTTAAATACCGATATATTTTTTATGACAACATTAATATATCAACTATAAATAACACTATAATTTTTTTTACAAATGATAATATATTTTAATTAAATTCATTACATATTAGCCAAAACAATTTATTTTAATCTTTAAACGGAACCTCTTAAACTTTTCTATATACTCGACCTATTAATTCAAGATTCAGATTTTTTCCCCGTATAATAAAAACTGGTAGCGTAGATTTGTTGTCAAATACAAAGAATACAAAATAATTCAGGAGAGTTGCTTAACTTTTACTTAGTTAAGAATATAATTAAAAGACCAAATTGATAATACAAAATACAATCCAAATTATATTAATATATTTAATTTTTAATCAACGGTATACCTTTCTTTACGATTTTAATAAATCGACTAAATAAAATGCACCTGAAACATGTGTGGATAAGATTATTACTGTACTTTAATAATTAAACAGGATCACCTATATATTTATACAATAAATTTATGTAAAATTTTTTCAATATTAATATAATTTTTTTTGTTAGAATATGGAGAAAGAAGAAGTATTAATTACTGTGATATTTTACGCACTATTCATTAACAGATATAATGTTCTTATAGGTAGCGTTTGGTTCAGAGACAAATACATTGAAACAGAGACACGAAGTCATGCGTATCATGTTTGACTAGTGTCTCGCTGGAGAGACAAAAACACAAAGGATAAGAGGGACAAAAATTCGAAAGACACTGGTGTACCTCTTGAAAAAAGAGACACTAGTGTTCCAGCGCTAGAGACACGGAGAGTAAATTTTTAAAGACAAAAATACCTCTTATAATTTTTAAAAATTACATAAATTACCCTCATAATTTTTATATCTAAACACAATACACCACATTCTATTCTTACTTTCAAGCACAATATACAAACACAAACATTAGTATTTCTATCCTTTATTGTTTCAGTGTCTCTGTCTCCAGTGTCTAGGGACGTGGTATTCAAACGCTATCATAGAGCTACAAAGGAAGCCTAAACAACTAACCAATATTAAACAGAATTGACAAAAAGATATAGTAATTACCATAGCAAAAAATATGTTAATATTTCCTCCCTTAAACTATTGCTTAGACAGAACACAAGCAACTAGTTTATTTTAGGAATTTCACATACTCCCATCAACTTTTGAAGCTTTAGGAAATAATCTAACTTCAGAGGTTTGGTTAGTAAATTTGCAATCTGCTCCTTAGTTCCACAATGAACCAACTCTATATAGCCATCTCTAGAGAGATTTCTTAGAAAATGAAAACGCACATTGATATGTTTGCTTCTTCCATGCATAATCGGATTCTTAGAAAGTTTAATAGTTGAACTATTATCACACATCAAAGTAGTGCAACCTTCCTAATTATGTCCCAACTCCTTCAAAATTCTCCTCATCCACATGGCTTGACAGGCACAAGCTGCAGCTGGCATAAATTCAGCTTCTATGGTGGACAATGTCACAATTGGTTATTTTTTGGATGACCAAGCTACTGCTCCATTACTTAGTAAAAAAAATAACCAGAGGTGCTTTTCTTGTCTGTCAAGTCACCTGCATAGTCACTGTCAATGTAGGTTAACAATTCTTATTTCTTCCCTTCTTATAGAAAATACCATAATTCATAGTTCCTTGTAGGTATCTAAGAACTCTCTTTGCAGCTTGCATATGCACTTGAGTGGGTTGGCTCATAAAACGACTGATCAAACTAACAGAGAACGTCATGTCAGGTCTGGTTGTTGTAATGTACGTGAGACTTCCTACCAGTTGCTTGTACTGAGTCTCATCTACTTTCATTCCTGTTTCATCTTTGCACTGTTTACAACTAGCACCATAGGAACTTTAATAGAATTGCTATTAGACATCCCTTCAACACATCTAAGGCATACTTTCTCTAATAAATGTAGATCCCATCATCCTCCTGTAGAACTTCAATACTAAGGAAGAACCTCATTCTGCCAAGATCTGTCATATCAAACTCCTTCTTCATTGAATTCTTGAAAGTACTCATCAGTGAATCATCATTATCTGTGTATATGAGGTCATCAACATACACATTAACAATTAAAATCCTTTCATCTGAAGAGGACTTCAATAATAAAATTTGCTAATGATTGCTTTTTTCTAAATTCTACACTAATAAAGTATGACTCGATTTAACTGAACCATGCTCTAGAAGCTTATTTTAGCCCATATAAAGTCTTGTGAAGTTTGTAGACCTTATTCTCACATTTTTTTTGTGTGTACATAACCTTTTGGCTGTTCCATATATACATCTTCATTAAGAGTGCCATACAAAAATGCACTATGCTTTTCTTCTTCATTTCTTGATAAACCTCTCTCTTCCTTGCTTTGTGGGGGTGGAGGGTGAGTGCCTATTTATACTTAAAGAAGGATGATAATAGACAGCTCAAAATTAAAATTAAAATTAAAATTTTATTTTGACTTGCAATAAAATTATGATATTAAAAATATTTTTAAATATTATATCTAAAATTTGTTTTAATATATAGTGTTGCTAGATAACCTGTGAAAGAAAGTGTAATATATAAGTTAAGAGCAATGTTATATTGGATTAAGAAAAGATAGGTACACTTTGAGTGCCACTCACTGCCCTAGCTGTTTTATTAGTCAACAATATTATTTAAATGCTGTTGATTTAAATAAAGTGTTGGTATTTGAAAAATATATATAATTTTTTTAAATTGTTTTCGTTAACTAATAATATATATAAAGTTGGTGCCAATATAAAAAATAAAGTTGGTGTGGGCAATGATATAACGAACAAAGAAAATTGTATAATAAATAAATAATTTTTTTTATAAATTAGAAATAAGTTTATCTTTTTTAAAGTTTTAGAAATAAATGAGAATTTTTTTAAATAATTAAAAAATATAAATTATTTTTTAAATTTATTTTATTTTATTACTTAATTTTTTTTACTGCTACAAGTACTTGTTAAAAATTTATCCAAACTAAACTTAAGTTTGCTTAACTTTCACTTAATGAAGAATACTATTAAAAGACTAGATTTATAATATAAAATAAGTCAAATTATTTTAATATATTTAATTCTTAAATACCGGTATATTTTTTTTTACGACGAAATCAATATATCAACGATAAATAGCACTACAATTTTTTTACAAATGATAATATATTTCAATTAAATTCATTACATATTAGCCAAAACAATTTATTTTAATCTTTAAACAGAACCTCTTAAACTTTTCTATATACTCGACCTATTAATTCAAGATTCAGAATTTTCCATCCTATAATAAAAACTGGTAGTGTAGATTTGTTGTCAAATACAAAGAATACAAAATAATTCAGGAGAGTTGCTTAACTTTTGCTTAATTAAGAATATAATTAAAAGACCAAATTATTTTAATATATTTAATTTTTAATCAACGTATACCTTTTTTTTTTTTTACGAATTTAATAAATCAACTAAATAAATGCACCCCAAACATGTGTGGATAAGATTATTACTTTACTTTAATAATTAAACAAGATCACTTATTTATACAATAAATTTATGTAAAAAAATTTTCAACGTTAATTTTTTCTTTAATTCTTTTGATTATATCAACTATTTTATTTTATTTCTTTCTTTATTGTATAACCTTTTGCAAAAAAAACAAAAAAAAAAAAAACCAATAAAATTGTAACACTATAATTTCTCTAATACATTAGACAAAGGCAAACGCTCTAAGGAATCGTGTGGGTGAATAGTAAATATGTAATTAATAATTAATGTATTGTATTTGATATGTTGTTAATTGTAATTAATTTTATTTTTAAAATAATTTTACATTTATATTTTTATGATTAAAGAATATTCATAACATGAATTTGTATTTACAATTTAGTTATGTTATAATGAATTTAAGATAATAGAAAAATTTATGAATAATAGTAAAAAAAGATGTAAGTAGTTATTAATTATCTTTTCACTAACAAGTATATAAGGTGCATGCAAGAACATAGCCACAACTCATTTGCAACACTAACTGATATTTTAAATTATATTTTGCTAGCTTGAGCACACTAAACTAAAGAGGGGAATTATTCTATTGAGTGATGCCCAACATGACTTCTCCTCTGTTCTTTTCACTAAGAAGTATATAAAGTAGGATTGTCTGTGATTTCAGGCATGGGCATGTGATGAAGGACACCTGTGACTCATAATTGTAACAAGCTGTTCACAAATTCTCCAATGTTCTTTTGAGTACTTCCACCCTCATCCATAGCTTTTGCTGCCAAAGTTTTAAATTGGATGAGATTATTCTTGATCTCCTTGCCTTCTTCACAATCCATTACTTTGCTTATACAATGCTTCAAGGCTCCTTGTCTCGCAATCTTTTTCTCATCAAATGGAGCTTTAAGTCCCACTTTCCAAACATCTGCAATAAACTTAGCATTTGTTATCTGATCTGCCATCAGTGGCACTGCAATAGTTGGAATTCCTAAGCACAAAGCTTCTAAAGTGGAGTTCCAACCACAATGTGTTACAAAGCACCCTATAGCCTCATGAGCTAAAACCTTTGGTTGAGAACACCATTTCACAACCAAGCCCTTTTCTGACTTTTTGGCAAAGTCTTTTGGGAGCTTAGTTTCTTCAGAAGCTCTCACTACCCAGAAGAAGTGATTATCACAAATTCTCAAAGCCCAAGCCAGTTCTTTCATTTGCTCCTCATCAAGAGGGACTGTAGTGCCAAATGATACATACACAACAGATCCTTTTGGTTTATCATCCAACCATTCCATGCACTTGTCATCATCACTCGCAAATTGTACAGCACCATAATCTTGGTCATCCTTAGATGGTACATTCGGTCCTATGGTCCTGAATTGCGGCCAATTCTTTGTCATCCAATCAACCACCTAGAAAAGCAACATCTAATTAACAGCTTCTCTTACCAATATATCTATATATTAATAGTTAAGGATTGGGTTAGTTTATAACCTTTATTTAACAGAAGTAAAACTTTGAAGTATAACATCATATGAATAGATAACTTTATTAGTATAAAAATTGATATATACTATCAAGACAGAAATGTTAGCTACCTGATTTTCGAGCTCATAGAAGGTATTGCAGAAAATCCAATCAGCTTTATGAATGTTGGAAAACTGATCCACCAAACGATAAAGAAAATATGGAAGTGAGAAGAAAACGCTAGGCATGTCATCAAGTTTAAGTTTAGGCAACGCTGGAAGACTAATCTCTTCTTCTGTGAGAGGAACTCGAAGCTGACCCAAATGAACGTTGTAGAAGAGAGTATTGACAGCCATACTCTGAGTGATATAAACAGCAGCAAAAAGCCCAAGTCTCTTTGCACTCTCTAGAGCCCAAGGTAGTGAGGAATCATAAATAACACAATCAACTGGGTCAGATCTACCCACCAATTTCTGAATGAGGCGAACAAGATTGTCTGGGCCAACTTGCTCGAAGCGGTCGATGTAGGCCGGGTAGGTCCCTGCTTCTTCAAGGCCACCACTGTCAAACCCATCTGAAATGGTTTGGAGGGTGAGCCAATTTGGGAGGGTGGGGAAGTTCTTGGAGAAGGAATGCGGGGTGACGAGTGTTATTCTGACCCCTTGGTGTTGCAAAAGCTTGGAGAATTGAAGCATGGGATTCATGTGACCCGCTGCTGGAAATGGCAAGACTAGACAATGCATTCTGCTGCTACCTGTGCTTCTCTCCTTCTTCTCCATTCCCCCTCTTTATTTTCTCATCTCCGTGTTTAATGGTAATGGTAATGGTAATGGACCCCAATTTCCTTTATTGGGCGTTGGGTGTGTCTGTACATGGTACCCATCTTTGTCTTATCATCCCCTCATTTAATATATATTTAATTATTAATTCAAATTTATTAAATATAATTGTTTTCAACTAATTAATTACAAAGTTTAATTGGCACAAAAAGTAGAAAGAATCTCAGTCTAAGCGAAATTTAGACCTTTCATCTTCTCCATTTTGGTCAAGATGGTAGGTACTTTTTTAATTTGACAAGACAACAAGGGCTTATTTGTAATTACTCAGAAACTTATTAAACACATTAAAAAACAAAGGAGGGCCCATGCCCCAAAGGCTACACGGAACACTCCAGAATAGGCACGTCCCTATCTATCTTATTTTCAAATTTATTTTGAAAGAGATTTATATATTTTCTTTAAATTGAAATTGTTATTTTTTAATATTTTAAAAATAAATCATTAATCTTATTGTTTATTAATACATAATCATCAGTCATAATTATTTTACGTATAAAAAAATATTTTTTATTTTATAAAGTACCGTAAAATTTATCATTTTTAAAATAATATTACTTAATTCATCTCACTTTATTCATATTTTATTTTAAAAATATTTATAATATTAATGATTAAATTAATATATTATATATTTATATAAAAATAAATATTTCGTTGATACAAATTTTATAATAAAAATAAATATAACAATTGAAGAATATTATTTACTATTTTTTATAAATAAAATTAAAAGTAATAATCTCTAGATGCTTTCTCTTGATAAATATAATGCAATCTTAGGAAGGAGAGTACCTACCCGCCTCTATTATACAATTTTTTAATGTGTATTTTAAAATAATTTTTTATTGAAATATTTATTATTTTTAAATTAGAAATTTCATATATATTTTTATAATAATTTAAAAAATTTTACAAAATAAATTTAATATTTCTTAACATGTGTCATTGAGTTCGTATTAAAAAAATCGTTTAAAAATAGAATGATTAATTTAAAAAAGTGTTGATGTATCATTATATTCTTAATTTTAATATTTTATAAAAAAAATTAAATAAAAATGTGATTTAAATTTAAAAATATATTTTTACTTAATAAATTAAAATTATGCAAAAATGAGTTTAAGATAACTCATTATCTATTTATTTATGGACGATAAGTATAAGATAATATAAAAGAAGTTTATAAATAACATATAAGTAGTTATTAATTATCTTTTCACTAACAAGTATATAAGGTACATGCTTGCAATACTAACTGATAATTTAAATCATATTTTGGTAGCTTGAACACTAAAGGAAATATTCCATTGAATGATTCTTACGGATAATTTAAATGTGTATAATTGTATTCTTTATCTTAATCGAACAGAACATCACAATTTGCATTCCATTGTTTGTTAAATTTGATTTGGGAAAGGGAGAATTTAAATTTCCCTTTTGCTCAATTAGCTTATTGTATGCAATAATTGGCACCATTTTAATTAACAAGTTAAAAATATTATCTTAATAAAATTAATTGCATGAATATTTCTTTTATAGAAGAGTGTTAAAAGTATATTTATTTTTAACATACTTTTATTTATTCTTTAAAATTTATTAAAATTTATACAATAATAAATAGAAAGACAAAAATTACACATACCATAAGTCGTGTACAGAAGGATAAACCAAATGAGCACTTGGCCATGTGAAGAAGTCATGCTTTGGATACATCAATTTAAAAATTAAAATAATTATAATCCTGAATTTTTGTATTTTATTTACATTGTTTTTTATTTTTCTATCACATTATCGTTAGAAATGAAAAGGAAAAATTTAAACATGATAATTATAATATAATAGATTTTTATATCAAAGTATAAAAAATTAAATATATAAATTAGTATGATAGTGTATTTTGATTTTTAATATTTAATATGAATTTTGATTTTTAAAAGGTTAAATAAAATATTTATCATTTTAAAAACATAAAAAAATTCAATAGATATTTTTATAACAAATTAAAATATTAAATACTTGTTAAGGTGTGCCAAGGGTAAGGGGTAATGCAAACAAGGTAAGGGAAGAATAGAGGTTCATACAGTGATATTAATTCAACCAAAAAGAGCAGAAAATCCAAGTCCGAAAAATCAACCAAAGGAAAAGAAGACCCTGCACAATACTTTCCGTTATTTTTAAATTTTTTATTTTTTTATTGTATTACTTCATTTCTTTTATTAACTTTTTTTTTCTTCTAATAAACGAAGTTTTAAAAAATCTAAAAAAAAACAAAGAATCCTAACCAAACAACCTAAACGGAGTTTTAACAAAGGTTCTAAGGAAAGGGGTGTTTTATCAAAATAAATGCAAGACATACTCATATCAGTACCTAATTTTGCTAAACAGTCAACACATTGGTTAGCTTATCTTAAAATATGAGAAAATTTAATAAATTAGATCCTCCCAAGAAGCAACTTAATTCTATTTATAATAGAAAATAAAAGATGTCACAGCTCTGAAAATTAACAATTAAGAAAATTACCTCCTTGTTACTACATTGAATCCAAATAATCTGAATATTCTTGGAGATGACAAGTCGCAGACTCAAACATTTCCCACAATTCAACAGCAAAGGGAGCAAGGAGGTAATTTCATGAAGAAACCACCCAAGAAGGAGCCTTTGTGATCACAAATGAGACCCCCACAACTAGCTTGACCCAGATTCTATATAGTTGACCCATCAGAGTTGAGCTTAAAATGTTGGTGAAGGGGAGGCTGCCACTTCACAAGGCTATGCGGTTCCACAAGGCTAGCACCAGGATTCTAGTTGTTCCTGCCACAAGAATGAAAAAAATTCAAAATTGGACATGATTTTATATAGCAAAGCATCATTATTCAAGGGCAAATTATTGAAAATAACATTATTTCTATTCTTCCAAAGATTCCATGTGATAATCCTAAACAATTTATGCCAATAAGAACATAAAAAAGGATTATGTTTAGCCAAATTGAGAGACAACCAACTAGATAACCCAAGGCTATAAAACAGAGCCCTTTTATCAGAAGGAATAAAATGGTTCCAAATCTGAGTAGCACTCTAATAGTCTCTAAGAACATGAATCACAATTTTTGGAGCCTCATTACACCTGGGACATAGAGAGGAGTTAGTCATATTTTGATTACATCTTTTAGCATTGGTTAAAAGCCTACCATGGGCCACTTTCCAAAGGAAAACATTTATCTTAGGGGGACCCTCCCACTCCTACACAAGATTAAAAATACAGTTATCATTTTGAGGAATCTGAGCACCAACAGAAATAAGATTAAAGGCAAACTTTATTGAAAAAATGCCATTACTAGTCATTTTTCAGAAAAAAATAGTCCTGAGTATTGGTTATTAAAGGAGGAGTAATTTGGGTTATTAAGTCACAAACTGAATCTAGAAGAACCTGATACAATCTATTCCAGTCCCACCTACCCTAAGATATATAACTAGTCACACAATCCTCCAATTCATCCCCAACGAGGAGATGAGTAGCGAAACTAGACAAATTCTGATGATTAGGCAGGCAATTATCCTTCCAAAATCTAACTAACATACCATTCCCTAGAGTCCAACCCAGCCCAGAACAAAAGGAGTTCCAGACAAAAGCCAAACTCTTCCAAAGGGATGATGACTTTTGATTGTTTTTAAAAGTAGGCATGTTGCTTAAAGAAAATTTGTATTTGTAACAAAGAACTTGGGACCATAAATCCTTAGGAGAGTTAATACGTCTCTAACAAAGTTTCATAATGAAGGCTTGGTTCACAAAACAAATGTTTCTAAATCCTAGCTCACTCTCCCCTTTAGGTCTGCAAATTTTCTCCTAACTAATTAAATAACATTTTCTACCACATAAAGAGCCCCAAATGAACCGTTTACGGATAATGTCAATTTCTTTACAAATAGATTTTGGAATCAAAGTAGTTTGTATAGAATAATTAGGAATACTCATAATACAGTATTAAGCAAGAGTATTTCTACTTACCATAGACAATGAATTTATTTTTCAAATAAAGAGTTTCTTTCTAATTTTATCAATAAAAAAAAAGCAAAGTCTTGCCTAGAGGGACTACCATGACTTATAGGAATTCCTACATATTTACCAAATTGGACAGAATTTCCAAAACCTAACTTACTACTAAGATCCTGAGCTAGAATAGACCCACAATTTTTAGAAAAATAGACAGAGGACTTTTCTTTGTTAATGGACAATCCTAAGGCATTGCAAAAATCATTCAAAACAACAATTATGGTTTCAGCATTATATCTATCATCTTTAACTACCAAAATAATATCATCAGCGAAAAAAAAGGTGAAAAATTTTAGGACTCATGTTGCTGAATGAAAAAGGGATCTAGGAACCATCACTAACTTTATCATTAATTAAGTGGGCCAGTCTTTCAATACACATAACGAAAAAGATAAGGGAATATATGATCCCCTTGTCTAATACCTCTACTTGGTATAAAAACATCAGTTCTATTACTATTCCAATTAATAGACATTGAGGAAATTGAGATACATTGGTTGATAATATTAGCAAATTTTGAACTAAACCCAACAGCCTGAATGATATCATTAATAAAACTCCACCTAAGTTTATCATAAGCCTTTTCTAAATCAATTTAATAATCATAAACTCATTCCGATTTTTTAAGACATTAAAAGAATGCACAAGCTCTTGCAAAACAATGGAGTTATCAATGTCTCGCTTGCCAAGGATGAAGCTAGTTTGATTAGCAGAAATGATATAGGGCAGAGCCCCTAATTCTATTAGCTAGCAATTTAGTTATAATTTTATAACTTACATTACAAAGAGAAATAGGCCTGAAATGTTTAATATGTTCAAGATTATCAATCTTAGGAATAAGGGTGATAACAATGTCATTTACAACATAAATGTTATTGGGGTTGTCAAAAATATCAAAAACAAATTTAACAATAAAAGGGTCTAAAAGATCTCACTGATTCTTAAAAAATAAAGCATAAAGGCCATCAGGTCTAGAGGATTTTAGATTTCCTATGCTAAAAAGTGCCGCTTTAATTTCTGCTAAAGAGATATCATAATTGATGATCAAGTTATCAAACTCCCTAAGGGAAGGAAACCTAGAAACAATGAGGAAGGGGGCACTGTTAGGGCAGGGATCAGAATAAATCTGCTTAAAATAGCTCACAACAAGACTTTGGAGTTTCAGAGGGTCAAATTCTATAATATTATTATCATATTTAAGTGCAAGAATTTGATTTTGTTATCTACAAATCCTAACAACATTATAAAAAAAATTATTATTCCTGTCACCTAACTTTAGCCAATTGGACTTGTAGTGATGAAGCCAAAATATTTCCTCATGATTCAAAGTTTGTTGGTATTCTAACCAAAATGAATGCATGAGTTTGGAAAGATAGGGGTTATCCTGATAAGCTAATTTATAATGAATACCCCTAATCCTATTTAACAGTCTTCTCTTTCTATTAAAAATATTTCCAAAAATAGTAACATTCCAATCAGAAATATTGTTTGTGAAATGGTTCACATTTTCAATCCACGATCTGGAGTCTAGCTAAGAGTTTTTAACTTGATCTTTGAAGTCCTTATGCATAAGTCAAGGAGTCAAAAATTTAAAAGGTTTAGACTGGAACACATTACTATGCATACTCCTAATTCTTATCCACAAAGTCACATAATCAGATTCGAGAATAGGTAGGTGGATGGGAGAACTATTCTGGAATAAAGCCCTCAAAGCATCATTAGTCACAACTCTATCAATTCGTTCCTTAATATTACCCTTTTGCCAAGTAAAAGGGTTACCCTTGAACCTCAAATCCTAGAAACCATATTTATTAAGACAATCAGCAAAATTATTTATCAGATTCAAATTTACAAGTCTACCTCCAACTTTCTTTGTCTTAAAGAGAACAAAATTAAAATCTCTAGCAAGACACCAGGGATAATAAAGCCTAGAGCTAAATTCAATAAGATGTTCCTAGTACTCAGACCTAAGCCCTTCTTGAGGGCTAACATAAACAGTAAATAGAACTCAACAATTATGCCTGTTACTGATTTTGAGGTGGACAAAAAATTTATTCTTTTCTAACACATCAACCTTCATTTTCCTAGTGTTCCAACAACACCATATTCATCCAGAGAAACCTCTGGCATCTACCTTACTAGTACCATCTAGATTAAATTTATTAATAACCATATCAGCTTTGGCAACATTAATTCTAGGTTAAATAAAGCTAAAAAATCTAAGTTGTGAATCTTAATAAGGTCATTAGTAAGTCTGGGAAAAGTCTTTCTCTTACTCCTCTACAATTCCAAAAAAGACAATTCATAGAAAGACAAATAAAATTAATCAGTAGCATCTCTAAGATGCTGAGGCCTTAGCTCATCTCTGATTGGCTCATTATTAATAGTAGAGGAATCAATATCCATAAAAGGAGCATGAACAGAAGAACTATCCGAGAGTTTAGGTGCAAAGTTATCCAAACCTTCTCCAACCCTTCCAAGATTCATACTTAACAAATTCTGAATGGACCCATCTCTAGCGTTATGAGCAAGCTCTTGTTTTAGCCTTTTCATTAATCTAAAAACTTCCCTTTCTTCTTGATTAGACTTTCCCAAAGCTTGCATACTAAGAGAGGAAGAATTATCATTAGTAAGGGAGATGTTGTCCCCTTTCTCAATGATGCCCATTTCTTGCTTATGTCTAACCTTAGCCTTTGAGGGTTTTTTAGGATGGAAATTAGAATTATCTTCATACAGGGTTTTCCTAGAAGGCTGAGGACCAACTGAGTCATTTGACTCAAATCAGTAGGAGTTGTTTTCTTAGATAGACTAGCAAATTTTGAAAATTAGGAAACTTTTCCCTGATCTTGCTTAGGAGGATAGATATCTAAAATATTAAATTTGGATCTTAGAGGGCAGTCTTTCCCTTTCAAGTTTTGATTGGGATTCCTGGGACTCTAGATTGACCCCCTCTTTTCCTAACTGGTTTTTTAACAAGCATCCAGGGACCATACTTTCCCTGTTCATTAGTTAGATTGCCTTTAGCAGTCCCTTGGATGTATAGCCCCTTGGATCCTCTGTACAGGAGATGATTCTTGAAAAATTAGCTCACTACTTTATTCTACTAAGGGATCTATAGGTATATGGTCAAATGTATAACATTCAGTTTTAGGACTAAGATGTTTAAGACAGGACATTTGCCTGTGCCCATACCTTCCACAATTAAAACAAATGAGGTGTAAACCCTCATATTCAATTCTAAATTCCTGCCCTAAGACTTCAAAGGAAGGGATTAACTTCTTTCTTAAGTCAAGCTCAATACAGAAACTAGAGAATTATGAGACTGAACTTTGAGCATTGTACCTAAGTAGGATCATACTTGCCATAAGAACTTGTCATTATAGAGTTCTAAAGTAAGGTCGGGTATTCTAATCTAGGCAGCAATTTTTCTAAGATTCTGATCCTTAGGTCTAAATAGCGGTCTCCATCGCTGAACTAATAGATAGTGATCAATAATTAACCATGGTCCCTCAAAAAGAGCATGTTTATAGTCTTCCATATTATCAAATTTTACCATAAAGAAATTGATATTTAAGTCAAAGAGTTTTAGAGGACTATTTTTACTCCAAATGTTTCCCAGCTTCTTATTAAGAAAAATAAAGCTCACAGTTTTACCCAACAACTTAACAATTAGGGTTGAGGACCAAGGGGAACACCACATTTCGTAATCCTCTAAAGCAATTTTTAACTCTGGGCATCAAGATTGGGTATCATCCTTAACAGATTCATTATCATCAGATTCAACATGCATATTTAAATCTTGTAAGACTGACTTAACAATTTTATCATCATGTAATACCAAATCAAATCTTTTTGCCCTAAGACTGAATCTTTATAAGACAACAAAGTAAAAGATTCAAGTTTAGGTAACTCCTGGGGGGATAAGTCGACACTAGGAACTTCTTGTTAGTGTGTGATGTGTTTCCATATTTTTAGGAACAATTATATTTTGAATAAGTCCATCGCATTATTAGGAAACAACGCGCTATATGCGCATAGGTAGTTTTGCAGTTTTTCATTCTTATGTAAGGCTATAAATTAGCAAGATTTATTCTTCAATAAAACAGAGAGTACAATTCATTCTTTCTGCACCTTTATCTTTTACGTACGTTCCAACATTTTGGTATCAGAGCTCTATCATGGGTCTTGATCCAAAGTAGAAGTAGCAGTCTTCTAAGCATAACACACAATGACATCAGAAAGTTCGTTTGTGTAGCCCGCCATGCGAAAATTTGACGGGCATTACGATCATTGGGCTATGCTCATAGAGAATTTCTTGCGTTCAAAGAAGTATTAGGGGCTGGTGCAAAATGGCATTCTTGAATCACCAGTAAGAACACCTTCTACCGAAGTACAAGGGACACACATTGATCATCAAAAATTAAAGGTTTTGAAGGCAAATAACTACCTATTTCAAGCATTGGATCGTTCAATCCTGAAAACTATTCTCAACAAGGATACAACAAAGGATATATGAGATTCTTTGAAACAGAAGTACCAAGGTACTTCACGGGTCAAGTGTGCACAGTTGCAAGCTCTCAGAAGAGAATTTGAAATTCTCCACATGAAGGAGGGAGAATCTGTCAACGATTATTTTTCCCGGACGCTTACCATTGCCAACAAGATGAAGGCAAATGATGAAAACAAAGGTGATGTTATAGTTGTTAAGAAAATTATGAGATCCATGACTCACAAGTTTGATTATGTTGTGTGTTCCATTGAGGAGTCTAAGGATACAGACACTTTGACTATTGATGAATTACAAAGTAGTCTCCTTCTACATGAACTCTGCATGACGTCTCATGTGGAAGAAGAGCAGGCTCTGCAGATTGCTCATGCAGAACAGGGACGCAGACGTGAAAGTCGTGGAGGCTTTGGACGACGCGGACGAGGTCGAGGACACGGTAGACAAGGCTTTGACAAATCCATTGTGGAGTGCTACACGTGTCATCAACTTAGACATTTTAGATGAGAATGTTCAAACCAAAGAAGAGAGGCTAACTATGTCAAGAATGACGAAGAAATGCTATCGATGGTCCCCACAAACATAACCAAGGCAAATGAAGATATTGTGTGGTTTCTTGACTCTGGATGCAGTAATCACATGTGCAGGAAGAAGGAATACTTCTCAGATCTTGATGAAAATTACAAAGACTCAGTCAAACTAGGCAATAATTCTAGTATAGCTATAACTGGCAAAGTCAATGTTCGGTTATACATGAATGGCAACACTTATATTGTTACTGACATCTTCTTTGTGCCAGATTTAAGGAACAACTTACTCAGTATTGGCCAATTACAAGAAAAGGGACTTAGTATTCTTTTCCAACATGGCAAGTGCAAAGTGTTTCATCCTGAAAATGGTTTACTCATGGAAACCAGCATATCTTCCAATCGAATGTTCCTACTGCATGTCATCTCTCCCCCTACCAAATCGACTTGTTTTCACACAGTTATAGAGGATATAATGAATCTTTGGCATTACAGATATGGACATTTGAATTTTCGGAGTTTAAATATGCTTTACCAGCAGAGTATGGTATATGGTTTACCAACGATGAAGGCACCTACCAAACTATGCAAGGACTATTTGGTTGGGAAGCAATCACGCGATTCATTTCCAAGGAAAAGCATGTGGAGGGCTACACAGGTTCTGCAACTAATTCATGCAGATATTTGTGGACCAATCACACCTATCTCCAACAACAAAAAAAGGTACATGCTCACCTTTATTGATGATTTTTGTAGGAAAACTTGAATTTATTTCTTGATTGAAAAGTCAGAAGCTCTTTCTTTCTTTAAGAATTTAAAATTTATGTTGAAAAAGAAGCTGACTCCTTAATCAGAGGTTTACGCACTGATCGTGGGGAAGAGTTTACCTCTCAGGACTTCACCAACTTTTGCTCTAACAATGGTATTCGTAGGCAATTAACGGCTACATGCACTCCACAACATAATGGGATTGCAGAACAAAAGAACAGAACCATTATGAACATGGTTTGAAGCATGCTCTCAGAAAAGAAGATGCCCAAAACTTTTTCGGTTGAAGCTGCCACCTAGTTTGTGCATATTTTGAATTAGAGTCCCACATTAGTAGTGAGAAATAAAACGTCAGAAGAAGTCTGGAGTGGAATCAAGCCTTCAGTTAAGTATTTTAGAGTTTTTGGATGCCTTTCTCATGTTCATGTGCCTGATGCCACACGTACCAAGCTAGATGATAAAAGTCGATGTTGTGTTCTGTTGGGAGTTAGTGAAGTATCAAAAGCTTACAAACTTTATGATTTGATTTCACAAAAGATCATCATTAGCAGGGACGTTGTCTTTGATGAAGATAAAAGCTAAGATTGGGATAAGAAGCATGCAGAAGCCATCTTATGTGAATTAGATTGAGGCGATAAGGATGTGGATGCTATCACAAATGAAGAACATGAGGTTGCAGATGCAGAACATCAGGTACGCCATTATCCTAATACCCTAGAAAAGGATACTAGTCCCGTTCAACAAAGGCACAGAAGACCACCCCTCTAGATGACAGATTACGAAATTGGAGAAGGACTTTTGAAGACAGTCCAGAAGCTCATTTAGCTATGTCTACAGCTGATGATAGTGATCCCACACACTTTGCTGCTGCTGTAAAAATTTTAAAATAGAGGAAAGCTATGGATGAGGAGATGGAAGCAATAAACAGAAATGGCACTTGGGAATTGATGGAATTACCTGACAGAGCTAAGAAAGTTAGAATGAAGTGGATTTATAAGACCAAATTCAAAGAGAATGGTGAAGTGGACAAGTACAAGGCTAGACTTGTAGTGAAAGGGTATGCACAAGAATATGAGGTAGACTATACTGAAGTATTTGCACCAGTGGTTCGCATTGAGACAATTCGCTTGGTGGTAGCACTTGCAGCTCAAAAGGGATGGACACTCTATCAGCTAGATGTAAAGTCTGCATTTTTATATGGAGAACTGGATGAAACAATATATGTAGACCAACCTTGTGGTTATGAACAAAAAGGGGTTGAGAATAAAGTGTATAAACTGAAAAAAAGTCCTTTACAGACTTAAGCAAGCATGACGTGCTTGGTATAGCCGCATAGAAGCATATTTTTTGAAGGAAGGATTTGAGAAGTGTGACTACGAGTATACTCTGTTTGTGAAGAGAGAAAAGGAAGGCATAATATTAATTGTTAGTTTATATGTTTATGACCTTATTTTTACTGGTAATGATGAGTTGATGTTTACAAAATTCAAAAGCTCTATGAAACATGAATTTTCCATGACAGATCTTGGTAAAATGAGGTATTTTTTGGGTCTTGAAGTAATGCAAAGAACAGATGCCATTTTTTTATGTCAAAAGAAATATGTATTAGAAATGTTGCAAAAATTTGGAATGGATAAAAACAATCCAGTGCAAACCCCAATTGTTCCGGGTGTTAAACTCACAAAGGATGACACTGGTGTAAAGGTGGATAAGACTTATTACAAACAAATTTTGGGAAGTCTTATGTATCTAACATCCACTTGACCTGATATGATGTTTGTGGTGAACTTAATTAGCAGGTACATGGAGAATCCGTCTGAGCTGCAGCCAAAAAAGTGTTGAGATATTTAAAGGGAACAACTGAGTTTGAGACTTTCTACAAAAAAAGAGGAAACAATGAATTTCTTGCTTACATTGACAGTGATTATGCAGGGGATTTGGATGACAGGAAAAGTACTTCAGGCTATGTTTTCTTATTGTGTTCAGCTGCTGTTTCTTGTTTCATCTAAGAAACAACCAATTGTGAGTCTATCAACCACAGAGGCAGAGTTTATGGGTGCAACATCATGTGCTTGTCAAGCCATATGGTTGAAAAGGGTGTTGGGAAAATTGTATAGAATACAAAGCCAGGCTATTGTAATTTATTGCGACAATAGCTCTACTATTAAGCTTTCAAAGAATCCAGTGATGTATGGTCATTGTAAACATATTGATGTCCGATTTCATTTCCTTCGAAATCTCACAAAGACTAAAACTATCAAGATGATGCATTGTGGGACACAAGAACAAGTGGCTGATATTATGACCAAACCTCTCAAGCTGGATACCTTCTTAACGTTACGCAGGTTACTAGGAGTGTGTGCAGAGTCTAATATAAACTGATTGCATATAGCATTCAGTTTAAAGGAGGATTTGTTAGTGTGTGATGTGTTTCCATATTTTAGAAACAATTATGTTTTGAATAAGCCCATTGCATTATTAGGAAACAGCGCGCCATATGCGCTAGGTAGTTTTGCAATTTTTCATTATTATGTAAGGCTATAAATTAGCTAGATTTATTCTTCAATAAAATAGAGAGTACAATTCATTCTTTCTGCACCTTTATCTTTTACGTACATTCCAACACTTCTTGCATATGTGATTGGACAACATCTTGCATGAGCGATTAGAGAATTTCAGAGGAAGGATCAGTAGATACTTTCACCTTTTTCGTATTCTACCACAGTAGATCTTACTCTTCAAAGGAGCGTTTTTCCTTTGCAGCATGGTCCATCAATAGTTACTCAGGAAAGATCGAAGTATTAGTAAAAGAAACCCCTAACTGAGTCACTAGAGAGCCGCCATAAGCGTGGCAGCGTAAGGTGGGAGCTCAGAAAGAACAAAAGGCAAAGAAAACCCTACCAGAGCCCCTCAAATATAATTCGGCACCTCACTCAAAAATGAGTCTTGGAAACCCTAGTGGAGCAACTTTAGATTTCTCTGAATACATCAATTTTCAATTTTTAATTTTGTTTTGTTATAACATCTTTTACAATTAAATTGATATCAAGTAAATTTTTAGGTATTAAATAAATAATTTAATATATTTTATTTAAGCATTTTTAATTTTTTTGTTAAATATATACTTTACATAAGTAAAAAATTTTAGGATTATTAATACTATAATATAATTAATTAATTATATAAAATAATTTTATATATTATTATAGATCTTTTACTACATAGAATTGTCGCATGATATTTTTCTTATTTTTTATTTTTAAAATTCTTTTAACTCGTTACTTCATTTTTTTATTATCTTTTTTTTATTTCATCCTTATATTTTTTAACCTTTCATATTTCTTAAATAAGGTAGTATCTCTTCCTTTAAATAAATTTAATATTTTAAAAATAAATACATACTGAAAGTAATATAAAAATTCATTAAATATTATTAATAATATAATATCCATAATTGAATATAAAAAATAAAATATTAAATATATTGTAGAAGCTTGTGTACAAAATTTAGTTAAATAGATAAATAAATTATAGAAAGAAAGATCCAAAGAGAGTGTAAACTACAATATCTGTTTTCATCCTGGTAGTTACTAACTAAAGTATGTAAGTATGATTACAAATATCTTATTTTTTTAGTTGATTTTTTATAGTAATTTTTCAATTTTTTTTATATCTCACTATTTTTTCATCGTAATATATATAAATTTATTACTTTCGCTCCCTTTTTCTCTAACACCGTATTGATAAAAAATGAAACGGAAAGAAAAAATAAAATAAAGGAACTCTTTGGCAATATACACTGATATCATGATTTTTTAACGTGCTCTTATTTAAGGACACACAATGAAAATTATCTATAATTAATTTTTATTAAAAAGTATTAAATATTACATAATTTTATATATTAACAGTATAAAATATTATAATTTAATTAAAAAATTAATATTTATTGAATTTTTATTATACAATCTCGTACTGAACATTGATATTAATGATGCTTGTACTTTGAAATGACGTAATGTTCTATTATTCAATACTCGTCTTGATCGAGTCTAACGATAACAGATAACTACCACTGATGACATGCAGGTGCATAATTCTAAATACACTTTTGGATCGTTATTTATAATTATTCGTCGTTATTATTATTATTATTATTAAACTCGATTTTTTAGCATTTAAACACTCAAGAGTGCCAACGAATTCATTTCTCGCACCAAATAAACTTCAATTTATTTGGTTTTTTATTCCCTTTCTTTTGGTTTAATATGATGCTCCCAGAACTAATTATTGCATGATAAGAGTGTTAACTTTTGTGGAACCTTCGTTACGTATACGGTTCGTGTATTTACACATGTTAAAAAATATTAATTATATTGTATTAAATATTAAAATTATTATAAAATATATTTTATATGATTTTGATGTAAGGATTAAGGTAACACCAATAATGTAGATAGCTAGGAACTGAATTTTAGTCTGTGGCAAGTTATAGAGACCGGAGAACAAAACAAAGTTGTCATTACTTGGAATATGGATTGACCTTTAAAAAGTGAAAGTAAGAAAAAATTCTGATATGAAAAACAAAAACGATATGTTAACTCTCTCTCTCTCTCTCTCTCTCTCTATATATATATATATATATATATATATATACACACACTCTTTCTGATTTATATACAAGCAGGAACATGAGAAAATCAAAACCATTATCTCAATGTCTAATTTTGGAATGCCTTGCAAAATATGAGAGAGATTAAAATACCCTTTTTTAATGGGCAATAAGTGATAAGAAGATAATGATGGAAAGGAATGGAAATTACATAAAATTTAAATATATTATCATAAATGTTTACGGTGTTATTCTTCTTCATTTAAATTTTAAATTTTATTTTAATAATAAATATTGACTTATAATGCCTGAAATAAAACTCTAATTTTAATTTAAAAAAATAGTGTTAAAAATACTTATGACTTTGTCCATGAAAAGAGTTGCATGTTGTATTAATTCTTGTCCCAATTTTGAGATAGATAATCATAGCAGGCCAGAGATTGAGTGCGAATGATTTTAACACCGTCTTCATTTTACGCTTAATTTTACAAATGTAGGATTTTGCTCATTCCTTGATACAACCCTTCCCCACTTTTAATGCCCTCATTTTCTCCCCTACTAAACAACTTATCTGTTTAATTATTTTTCTATTTTCATATTCTCCAACACCATCAAGCAAACCATAATATTAAAAGTATAAAGTTGATGCTTGCATATAATGTTTAGAAGGAAAATTAAAAGCTTGAATGTGAGATTTTATTATACAGGAGAAAATGAGCTAATTAACTTAGGCAACTATTAGGTAGCATCTCATAAACCTTTTTAGTAAATTTCTCTTATTTAATTCAAAATTCTCCTTGAATAAGAAATCAAAATGTCTCTTAAACTACAAATGGACTTTAATTTTCTATGCATTCTCATCTTAAAGGCTGATCAATCATACGGGAAAGGCTTAATACATCATCAAACATTTCATTGTAAAGCCAATTTGGAAGCAGCAATGGAAATTGCAGTGTCCACGTTGCAGGTTAAGGAAAAATCGATATATGAGAGTTTCAGTTTCAGTTTTGATTTAAAATAAAGATAAATTGCATCACGTAAATAAATCTTAGTTTTTTTGTCTGTACCTATGATTGGATACTTCAGTTTTTTAGTTTTATAAAATGAACCAATTTCATTTTGCCTTTGGCATCTGATAACAAACGTAAATTATTACTGCCATCCCCAATTTTTCTCCAGCTATGCACATATTGTTGGAAAGTGGAACAATAAATAAACTGATTCATTCTTATATATGTTTATGAGTATTTAGCTCATAATACTTTTTCAATGTATAAATCTTACATTTAACACATAATTTATACTTTCTAGGAGTTGTATAATAATGTTAATAAATGTCATGAGGTATCTATAGTGTATCTAAAAATATTCATATACTAATGCATTTGCATGTAAGTCAAAAAAGCAACAAAATCAAATCAAGAATTTTTAAGTTAAAAGCATACTTTTGTTTTTCACATTATTCCCTTATTATTTCCTATATATATATATAGACAAGTTATATGATAATGATTCGATCGACCTCTATTTATTATAAAACTGTAAGCGTGTGTGTAAGTGTGTGTTTGAGAGAGAGAGACGGATGGAGCTCATATATATATATATATATATATATATATATATATATATATATATATATATATCTGTGTGAACATGAAAGATTGCATTATTGTTCTTTGAGAGTGTACAAGAAAGAAAAGTTGGATGCAAGTATATATTTTAAAGCTACAATATGTTATGCTTTTAAGGCATTTTGTGGTTAAACATGCCTTGTTAGGTAAGACGAGTATAAGATAAGTTAAACCTTATCTTTAGGAATCTGTTTTACGTGTTAAAACGAAAGAATTAAATTATTAATCACACTCAATCCAGCAATCAAAGTTGGCTCATCTACTATGGGACAAGCTGCAAAATATTCTTAGTTTCGTAAAATAGTTACATGCACAGATCGCTTTGAATTAACCATTGAATACATATATAGTGAATATAATGTACAAGAATCTATTTAACTTCTAACAAGGTTTCGTTTAAACATTATATATTGTGAAACCAAACACTATTGAGAACGCCCTAAAAAATGACACAACACAACACACTTTCCCTCTCTCTCACTCTACGTTTATTTTTCTTTCATATGGATTCCTTTTTCCTAACTTGATTCGAATGTAAAATAGATAATTGAGAAGGAATCACGTTAGAAGCTTCAAATCGTTTTATGTTATTAAAATTGTATGTTAGTAAGATATTAATTAATTTTATTACACTTCTAGACAACAGCCGACCTATTGAACTGACTGAAAGCAAAAATCAAGAAATTTAGTTAGTTTTTCCCCCACTTGTTTGTGGTGGAGTTTAATAAAAGAGAGAGAGAGATGTTCAACTGCACTCGGTCAAAAGCAATAATTTTAGGATTCCTCTAATAAAAAATTCTCTAGAATATCAACAAATCACAAGACAAATAATCCTTTGTCTTGATTATTTGTTGAACAATGTTAGCCATATAGCTTCAAGACCGTGTGCTTGTTCCAAAATTTTCACTTGTTAGAGTAAGACTAGTCATAATTATTTGTTCCACCCGAAACTAAACCATGGGAGACAGTAAATATTAGCTGAAAAACAAAATACCATAAGAACGCAACTTCGAAATCCAAAATATGTGTTATTGATTTGAGCCTATGATTTATTCAACTCAAGGTTAATGCACAACAGTCTAGTCTAACATCTCCAACAACCAAAGAGAAAAGTTTTACAGTTGTTCCTAGCTAGAAATTCACTGAGTTCTTACAACAAACCTAGCCAAACAAAATGAGTCCTCCAATAGAAAAAACAGTACTTCTTCACAAACAATTCAAAGGAAAGAAGGAAATCTCAGAGACAACCAATATATGGGAGATTAATTAATTCAACTTCTCACCTTTGTATAACCCAAAGAAGCTCGATCAATAAGATTGCCTTCCACCAGAGTTCCCAACCCAACCATCAACAGGTAACTGAGGCATGTTTAAAGGCAAATTGAAGAAAGGAAGCCCAGAAGAAGGGTCAGGAAAAGAGTTATTACTAACTCCACCACCACTACCACCGCCACCACCAGATGATTGCCCTTGTTGCATCTGCAAGGAATCATCTTCATCCAAGGGCAGCCTCTCATATGCTACGTTAGTAAAAGATGAAGCAATAACAATAACAGGCCCTGATGCGACTAATGGACCAACAACATTCCCTCCCACAACTTGACCTTGCCCCCCACCAAGAAACACAGTTAAACTGGTAGCACCTGGTGGGGCTGGAGGTGGAAGAAACGACCCTGATAAGGACAGAATCTCAAATCTTCCGTGCAACGTGACGACGGCGCCAGCCGCAGCCGGCTGGCGCAACGTAACGTTGGTCACGGTGCCACTTCCACTGAGGACACAGATCCCTCTTTGGCGCTTCCTTGCATAGGTAGCCACTGAGTCAAACACATCACAACCACTACTAACTTCAAGGATGTGAGCCCTAAGCGTGTTTGCACTCTCCCTTGTGATGATAACTGGTGGTTTAGGCTTGTTCTTTGAACCTGGGGGTCTTCCCCTTGGCCTGCGAGCAACAACATCACCAGGACCTTGATTTGGTGAAACTAGGTCAAGCCCTTCATTGTTGTTGATGGTGTTGTCATGGTCTTGTTGGTTCTCATCATCTTCAAGGTCAGGGCGTTGAAGGCGATGATGAACAAAGTGTGATGCTGAACCCAAGTCTATGCCGGCCATACACAAAGCTCTATAGAGTGTAAACACAAAAACAAAAGGAAATAAATAAATAAAAATTGGAGTAATTAAATAAGAGAGAAGTTTAATTAATTAGAATAGTAACATGAACAATTAAATTATGTACAGGGATTTTTAAAAGAAATATTATAGGAGTGTCCAATGATTCAAACCTCAAAACGAATAGAAAAACAAAGGGATCAATTGAGTACTGCAGAGAAAACGGAATGGGATGAGGTTGGAAGGGAAAGAGAGAGACAAATAAAGTGGGCAAACTGCAGCCATTCTCACATTCAGAAAAGTAGACGGAAGAATAAAATAATGATCATGGGATTAAACTATGTAGTTTCTTTATTAATTTCTTTGAAAACCACATTCATATAGTTTTAAAATCATGGGGTGAAGTTAAAATGTTGTGTCTATATCTTTGGAGGATGTGTGGGAGTAGGTGAGAGAGAAAGAGAGAGGTTAGATGATTATTTAGGAAACCTAGGTTACCTTTCGATAAAGAGAAAAATTAAAATATTTGAACCCTTAGCTAATAAGTTATTCTTGCACATGTTGAACAATTACTTTACAGACACAAAAAAAAAAAAAAAAAAAAAAAAAAAACCAATCGTGGTTTTTCTCTTTTTCGGTCATTGATAAACAAAAACAGTCACTTGTGCGAGGCAAGTTGACCCAAGGGCTACAAACTTGTTCTTCATCAGTTTATAACACTCTTATGACTTCTTTCGAGAGGTTTTGACTCCACACGTACGTTCAGCTCTTCCTAATGTCTTGTTAGGGTTGAAATTTTCCCTTAGCTGCCCTGTCATTTGTTTTCACTCACCAGCTGCCAAAAATAAATAAACAAAGCCCCAAAGTTATGCAATTATATTGTCAAATTTAAATGCACTTGTGAGTAGCTATGGTTATTTTATTTTGCGTGCATTTGAAATTCAGAAGTTTTTAGTGTTTGTGGTAGGCATAAGACAAAATCTCTCCAATATAGTCATGTAGTATATTAGCCTTGGCCTACATAGAAGCTCACTGCTAAAAAGGAAAATATATATATATATATATACATGCATACAGTAAAAGAGAGGAGAAAAATGGATAAGGAAAAACTAAATAAAAAAGTTATTCACAAAGTAGACTTTTGTCCATTGAGTAAACTTTAATTAAATGAAGATGGCCCTTTATAAAAAAATACATTTTTTCAACCTCCTTAAAACTAAATGTTTCTTTTTAGTGGTCATTGAAATTAATTATTCCTCTGCTTTAAGCATGTTAACTCCGGCATCTAGCAATAGGTTGATGAGATACCTCTAAACCCTCTATTTGGCTTAGGTTTTCGGTGTACGTTGTGATATGGTGTTTTATCAAGATCAATCTATATATTCCTATGCTTTGTTCTTCACCAACTTTAAGATTTATTAATTTTACCCATTAGTTTTGTTGTTCTTCCACGAAAAATATTATATAATAATTAGAAATTTTGTTATTAGAATAAATACTATTAACAAATAACTGCACATTGTTTGGTTATATATGTAACGGATTTAAAAAAAACAAACTGGATAAATTACAATTTTTTAGTGTTTTAAAAAATGCTCAAATTAAAATTATATCGTCTTCTCATTTAGTTTGAAAAATTAGACTATTCTCTTTTAAGAAATTGATATGTAATATATGTTAGTTCATTTAAATAAGAAGTCTTTTTATGGATTTTTTTTTTCTCGGAACTCTTAATATTATCAACAACTAATTGTAAATTTTTTATTACTGAAAACTTCAACTTGGATTCACTAGCAAATTTGAATTAAAATATCAGGAGTTTAATGGATGATATATATATATATATACACGCACACAAACAAAAGGAGAGGCCAATACAACTCATAATTAGATTAACACTCTATTTTGGGGAAGCTTAAGGGTGTCAGGAGGTGATTAAAATCATTTTTCTAGTTGGTTTTCTGAAGAAAAAAAATAATATGGTAGGAGCAACCAAATCATGATCAATATTAGACATTAACAATATTTGCAAATCGCCAATAAAGCAATCTTCTCTTTTTATTAAATTTTGAAAATTTTAATATTTTATTTAAATAATAATTGGTATAAATTACAATTAAAAAAAATTTATACTTTCTTTATTGTATATTATGATGACTTTAAAAATTCGTATAGAGCTCATTTTGAACTTCAATTAGACTTATAATTCATTCGAAATCTGTTCAAAATTTGGAACAGGTTTTGGGATGAAGTTTTTATCTCTTAAATTTTTCCAGCAAAATTAGAGTTCGCCTGAAATTTATCCTAAATTTAAGACACATTTTAAACAAATATGATTTTACAAAAAAAATGATTATAAAATCCATCTGAAATTTGTGCGATATATACTTGGTACAAGTTTCAGATATATGTAAGAAAATTAAAAGATTGTATTCTTTGTCTGAAAATTGTCTCGAAATCGATAAGAATTTCAGAAACAAAAATAGTTAAATAATATAAAATTTTAAGAAATTATGTAATCCATCTAAAATTCATTTAAATTTGAAAAAAAAATGGATGAATTTAACTATGTAACAAGAAATTTCAAATATTACATAATTCGTCCAGATTTTTCGGAGAAGTATTGAAAATTAACTTAAGAACTAAATATTTGGTCTATGTTTCATTTGAAATATATCTAAAATATTTTGACACCATGATCCCAACAAAATGTATCAAACAGACTTAAAATTTCATTCGTAATCTGTTTGAAAAAATTCGATAACATTTTGGACGGAAAATAAACACTATTTATCGCGTTATATTGCTCTACTATGTACATACACGAAGATCACCATTCACCAACATGATTTTTAATCTCAAGTGCATGTATAGGACGAACTTGAACTATTAGCAAGTTCTGATTAGATAATTGAAAAAATATATGAAATAAATATATTTGTGCATCACCACTACCTTTTATTCTAAAGTTTGCGTCATGACAACTTGGTCTCACACATGCCCTCCCATTAAATTATACTGAAATAAATCACCTAGACTCCATCATAAGCCATCATTATCAAGCCCAGTATAATATTTAAGAAATAACTTCACCAACATATTTATCCATAGAAGCTTAAATGAGTTATCGTTTTTTATGAAGAAAATCAACCAAATATAGTAAAAATACTTTTGTTAATATTTAAAACACAATAAAACAAATTAACCTACAAATACTTTTCAAAAAAATTACAAACTTGCTTAAAATTTAGATTATAACTCAAATTTAGAGTGAAAAATATTAGTTCCTAAAAATACAAAAATCCTGGATTGGTCCTTAAAAATAATAAATATCAATCATATTAGTGCTCTAACATGAGACACATTAGTCTCAAAAGAATCAATATGAGACGCATTAGTCTTTGAAAAGAATCAATATGACTCACATATGTGATTCCAAAGGAATAAGGTAAAAATTTTATATTTATATGGAATAATGTGTCCACCACCAAATTTTACGGAAACAAATTTGAGAGTTTGTTCTAAATTTTATTTTCTCTATATAATGGATAAATTATATACTTACAAAAGCATTGCTAATCTGCAGCGTAAAACATTATTTCCGTTCTTGAAAATTTTGGAGTCGGTCATATAAATCCTGGAAAGATAACAAACAAAAAAAAAACATTATTTTCGTCACTAAAAATCGAAAATGACAATTTATTCAATCTTTAACAAAAAAGAGTTTTTTACCTAAAGAAAAAAGTGAGAAAAATACCATAAAATTTACTAAGTTGCTGTCACATCAGAATTCCATTTGGTCTACTTCATATAGTGTTATAATACACATGGACATGGGCAATAGACACAAAAATGAAAACATTTTTTTGTGTAAGGACAAATAGAAAACCTTTTTTACATGTAAGGATCAAATTAAAAATTAGTGTCAATTATAAGGAGAAAAAATGTATTTAAACCATTATTTTTTATTCAAATGAGATTAATAGCATAGCTACCCATTAATTGCATGTTTGGTAACATTTTTTAAAAATAATTACTTCTAAATATTCTTGCAAAAGCTTATAAAATAAATAATTATTTCTCCAAACACAAACGGACCAGCTCATACCAGCTCATAGTACAACCCATGCAGGTAGAGTGGGACATTGCTAAACACGAAGCAACCGCTTCACCACCTTTGCTGTGGTTGCCAAACAAGGCGTAGTTGACACAATGAGTAGCACTCGCATTGGGCATGTGGCATTTAATAGTAGGGCCAATTTTTTGGTAAGAGAAAAATGAACGTTTTAAATATGTTCTTAAGGACAAATCAATAAGCATGTTACTGTTATATTGAAAAATAAAAGCATGTTAATGAATCCAAAAACAAGTTCTGAAAAGGGCCTTGTTACCCCACAATGATAAGCCTACATATAGTCCCCAAAAATGTTAAGATTGTTTCGCTTATTAATCAAGCAAAACAGTAAAAAAATAATAAGTGTCCCACAATTGTCCTGATTATAAATATTCAGAATAATCAAATTACAAGAAAAATCAGATACTGAAGAAACAAGCAACATAAATGGGACAACAAAAATCTTAACTGCATTGAACATACCACAATGCAATTAAACGCTAATAATCCAAATTGGTAACAACTAATTTTCCCCACCACCCCAGAAAAAAATATAATGGCACAATGAAATAAACATCTATGAGGTCTTCATTCCAACTAACAGAAGAATCAAAATATGAGGCACTCAAACAGACTCAAACCTTTATTATATATATAATAAATATGCTGCATAGAAGAATTTTGAACTGAGGGGTGAGAAAGCTAAGAAATAAATCAATTGCCACTGTCATTACAAGCTGATTCAGCATGTGATCAAGGTATAAGAGCTTGCTAGATATCATCAGTTACCGGCATCGCGGCTGTAGTACTGATCAAGAGTCTTTGCAGGTATACGATGAAGAAGCTCGCGGGGGAAAATCCGAAGCAAAGTCCATGCAAGATCTAGTGATTGGAAGATATTGCGGGTATCATAAGCTCCTTGTGTAACAAATTTCCTTTCAAATTTGTCCAAAAATTCCAAATACAGCTGTTAATAGAAAGGAATAAGCATAATTAATATCATCATTTTAAGGACAACAATCTCACTATATAAAACAAAAATGTCATGAGAGAAAAATATTAGAGACCAGGTCCTCAGATGAAAGTGCTTCTTCTCCGACCACGGCTTTCATTGCCTGGACATCCTTTCCAATGGCATAATTTGCATAGAGCTGAAAAGAAATAGAATAACACCAATGAGATGGTTTATAAACAGAAAAAGTGGTAATATAATAAAGAAACAAAGTCAGACCTGGTTGGACACATCAGCATGATCCCTTCGTGTCATTCCCTCACCAATGGCACTCTGCAGAGGCAACCATGATGCATAGAATGAAAACCTCATAACATACCTTTTAAATTAACAAGAATGATGTTTGTTTTAGCCAGGAGAAAACATTTTCAGAAATTTTATGGTGATCGTTAGATGAAATCATGTGGTAGGGACTACTCAACCAGACATGAGTAAGCAAAAAGATTATCAGTTGATGGCATTTTGACATCAAACAAACAAGATTAACCTCACCTTCATCAAACGAGACAATGATGGAAGGACATTGATTGGTGGATATATCTGCCAATACAAAAGGAACTAAATGTTTTAGTTTCGGTCCAATATTTTGTAAGCAATTAACAAAGTGAGTTTACCTTATTTGATATCTACATAAATACATCAAGAACAGAGCAGATCATAGAATAAAAAGCTGGTTTCATTTTTATGCAGTAATGCGAGGATGGACATAATAAAATCTCTAATGATCTTACAGGTGACCCCATTAGTCACAGCACTCCATCTTAATGTTTAGTAGCATTTGGTACATGTATTAGAATGGGTTCTATTTCATGTTTGGTGCATTTTAAAAATAGAACAAAAAAACATGAGACTAAAAAATGTTACGTTTTGGTTCCACTATGAAAGGCTGAATCAAAGGAATAGAACACGCAGTTCTGTTCTATCTGTGCACCAACCACTATCTTAATGATGTGTCAATGGAAATATAAAATCAAACATTTGTGAAGGCCATAAAAGGAAGAACAGAAAATTTACATGACGGGGAAATTTTACTGTTCTCTTTTGAATATCATGTATTAAATGTAAACATGCCTTCTGCATCAAATTCTCTTGTATATAATTCAGGTGATTGTGACCCAGCATTTTTTACAATATTTATTACAGTCAAAAGCTTTAATATAACCCACCTGCCTGTTATGCAACTGCCTGTCAATATATATCTGTCCCTCAGTAATGTATCCTGTAAGATCAGGAGTTGGATGCGTGATATCTGTACAGAAGTTCAAGAAAGACGATCAGTCAGAAGTAAGAGTGCACTATGCAAGATAGCGGATAAAATATAATAATATTTCATTACCATCATTAGGCATGGTTAAAATTGGAATTTGTGTAATAGAGCCTTTTCGCCCCTCAATTCTTCCAGCACGTTCATATATTGTTGCAAGATCTGTATACATGTAGCCGGGATACCCTCGTCTACCTGGTACTTCTTCTCTGGCAGCAGACACCTACAGGATCCAGAAGTGATCAATAGTCCCATTAACTATCTAATTGTTTAAAAATACTTGAAGTATTCTTAAGTTATGTCTCATACTCTGAGGAAAAAAGTAAAAGATGATAACTGTCAACTAGCAAATTATTACGCAAGCCTAAAACATTATTTGTAGACAAACAAAGAAACTAAAATCACAAGGGAATGACAAGGCTGTAAAGATTTTCCATCTTTCTTCTTTCCTTTTGCTACATCATTCTAAAAGTTACAATTTGTGATACATTACCTCACGAAGAGCATCAGCATAAGAGCTCATATCTGTGAGTATGACAAGAACATGCTTGCCGCATTCATATGCCAAATATTCAGCAGTAGTAAGAGCAATACGAGGAGTGATGATACGCTCAATTGTAGGATCATTTGCCTGCAATAAATAGAGAAAAAGCATTTTAAGGATAAGCTCCTCCATGCAGGTAACAAAATCAAAATTGAAAAATAATACGGTGATCAACCATAAAAATATAATTGTAAGCTCACACATCTACTAATTGGCACTTCCTAAATTTTTTTCTTTTCAAAATTTTACAAGTGAGCTTAACAGGGTAAAAGATTTGTTTTGTTAATCATGGCCATATTACCACTACATATATGTGGAAAATATGTCTGATTTAAATACAATGAGAAGAATATAATACTGTACAGATTGGGAATAATTGTAACATTGAAAAATGAACAATTGAATTATATTTTCTTAATTCCAAATTCCAATTACTAGACAATATTGGTACAAACAAGGGCCAGAATTTTCTTTAATGTCTAAACTACATAGACAAAATTACTAAGAAGGAAATCAGGAAGGCAAGAAAACAACAAATGGGAATAAAAGAACAATTTCATACTGGGTCTAGCTACTACCAGATTAAGGAAAAGGGTCACTCTCTCCATTGAGCCATTTTCCTCAAAGTCGCGTTTGAAAAATTGTGCAGTCTCCATGTTAACTCCCATAGCTGCAAACACAATGGCAAAATTGTCCTCTTCTCCACCCTGTATGTTGACAAGGTTTGTTAGAGAAAACCACCTTCTTCATCTTAGTGTAAAACTAATAAGTATCAATAAATGAATAAACAGAAAATAGCCTTATAAATTTGAAGGCAATAAGAATAAAACTACACAATCTGCAAGCGGATAAAACAAAAAGCTAGGTCATTTCAACTTAGTTATGTCAGCTTTTTCATTACATGATTTTTATAAGCTTATTCAAAAGCCATGTGTTTGATAGTCAAGCAACCAATGATACAAACATTGCAATACAAGTTTGATTTTTATAGATATCTTCAACTTCTAAGGGTGATAATCAAGCAATAGAACTATTGTCTATCAGTAAACACAGGTATAAGGAATGAACTCAGCTTCTACTAAAATGAACTAAATCAGTTAGAAAATAAGTATAACTCTTCCACAGCATTAAAATCTGTAATTAAAATTATGCATGTGCAATGAGCATTAACTGGAGGTGCAAGGTAAAAAAAGATAGTCAGGAGCAAGAGGTCAGCACAATTAGCCCACTTTCGGTTCAAGTGCTCAAACTTGCAGCTGATTGAAGCAAACTCTCAAATTGCCTAAGCTATGAAAGTATCCATGCAGAAAGTGAAGTTCCTAACTCAATTCAGGAGCATATAACATATTAGAGCAAATTTACTTTAATACATTGGATATACCTCCAGAAGATTATCAGATTTCTCTAGTCGCTTGACTAAGCCAGCTTGACGGCATATCTGTGCAGCAATTTCATTATGGGGGAGACCAGCAGCCGAGAATAGAGGGATCTTTTGACCTCTAGCAATAGAATTCATGACATCAATTGTAGATATTCCTGTTTGTATCATCTCCTCTGGATAGGTTCTCTCACTAGGGTTGATGGAACTTCCTGAATTATTGGGAAAATATTAAAAAGACAAAGATAAATATACATATTCAAACCTCCCCAGAATAAATTATATACCTGATATATCCAAATAAGCCTCAGGTAAAATGGGTGGACCATTATCAATTGGTTTTCCAGAACCATTAAATATACGGCCAAGCATGTCCAATGATACTGGAGTTTTTAACACCTGTGAACAAAAGCAATAACTCAGAAAAAAATGGGAATCAACAGTTAAACTGATTCAAAGCAAATCAAAGAATCATAATGAAAGGACTCAATAATCAATACACATGGATGCATTGGTAGAAGGGGAGGGATAGAGTAATCACATGCAGTTTATCACAATGGAAAGGATAAAATTTGAGAGATTATCGTTTAGAACAAAATTAATGTGTAAATAGTAATCAGAAGCCAAATCTTATGAATGTGACAAATAGGGCAAACCACAATTCTTCCACTATTTTCTTATTGGAAGTTTATTTTCTCAATTACCAGTTTAACCAGTAGTACTATATCATACGATTGAAGTCTTGAAGTCTCTGCTATACATATCAAGATACCATTTTAAAAACAAATTCATGATAAAAAATTTACCATTTGACCAGGTTAATTGACAAGTAATGTAATCCTTATTGATACCAAGGAAGCCACCCTTCACTGTTTTTTCAACCATAGTTTAGACATAATTAAATTTACATTTATTTTTGAAATAAAGAAGACAATAATAAAAAGAGTTTATACCTCTCCAGTAAATTGCACAGTTGTAAATTTATTGTCAATCCCAGATGTACCCTCAAAGACCTGCTCAATTGTACAAAGTGGTAAATAAACAAGCCCATTGAAGTCAATAAAACTACACAAAAAACGTAGACAACAATGAAGGATTCTTACTAACTCATAAGAGATTGAGAAACAACAGGGGAATCCTATAACATTTTGGTAATAGGTAAAAAAAATAAAATGAAGACGTCATCGTATAAAAGATAAGGGAAAAGCACCCGTCGTGATATATACAACTACCCTCTCACCGTCCCAAGAGAAGCACAACAGATAATTATGTAGGCAGTAAGAACTGACCTGAACAACGGCTTTTTCACCATCAACTTCTAGAACTTGTCCACGGCGAGTAGTTCCATCCCCTAAGCGAATATTAACAATCTCTTGATATTTGGGTCCCTGATGCATTGATCAGCATAAAATTCAGTCACAACATAAAGAAAGTGGGAAATCCTCATTGAGAAAGTTCAAAATTTTAGAACAAGTAATAAGCAAACATATCAAATAGAGCATTATACTATGATCATTACCTTAACTTTATCGAGAATAACTAATGGCCCAGCAACTCCAGACACAGTCCTATATTCTGCAACATAAACACATAATTCACAAAGTTATCATTTTTAAAATTGATCAATACAAAATCCCTTAAAAATGTCTCGTTTTTTTTCTTCAAAATGGCAAGCATCAAACATGGCGATTGCGCGATTAATCAAATCCCAAATCATAACAGAAAAATAACCGAAAAGGGTAAAAGGAAACGATACTCACCCATTCCAATCTCCAAGTTACCCTCCACATCATGAATGTTTTGAGCCACACCCATTTCTGGACCTTGAAGCAAGAAGCGTTACAAAGAGTCAAAACGTGAAACACCCACTAAGAATTAAGGCACAACAATAGTGAACGAAGCAAAAACAGCTTAAAAACAAAAGTATTGAGTGATCTTCAGCATTTAGTGATCGAAGTGTGGCGTGGTTCTGAGTAAAACAGAAGAATTATGGGAATGAGGAGAGTAACCTGCGAAGAGATTGATCTGAAGAGCGTAACTGTGTGTGTTTGATCTGAAGAGGAAGAGAGATGTCGATGGTTGTGTATGTGACAGATCTAATAGATGGGCCAAACAAATTCAGGAACCATCGTGGAAAAAACAAATTATTGTCAGATAATAATTAAAAATATACCATTTTTTTCATTACTTTAGAAACGTGGAATTTTTATTTTTATTTTTTGAAACAAAGGACATTGCCTTTTTTAATCACCTAAATTTCTATGATAAACCAAATTGCTACATGAAGTAAGGATATCTTTGAGAATAGAGTTAATGGGTTAAATATATTCTTAATCTTTTAAAAAAAATTATAAAACTATTTTTTTACTTTAATATTTTATAATTTTTAAAATTGTTGAATTTGCTTTCTTTTGTTGATGTGCTTTTATGAAAAACCAATACATAATATAAAAGTTTATGCGTCAGAACATTGAAATTAACTACATTATCGTTTCACAGTGGTTAGAGTTAAATTTAACAAGTTTTAAAATATAAAAACTAAAATAGAAATAATAATTTTGTAAAAGTCAAAATTAAAATGCAATATAGTTTGAAGATTAAAGAATATATTTAAATCAATAGCTTAATTAGGTATTTATTTAATAACTTTCCATCACATAAAGGTTTAAGATATAAATTTAATTTTTAAATTTGTTCAAAAAGTTAAAAAAATACTTTATTTTAATAAATTATATTACAAAAGTTATTACAATAAGCTTAAAAAGTATGTAAAAGTTATGAACTATTTCCATACGTTCTTTATAAATTTTTAAAACACCTCTTATAAATAATTATATCACAAATCCTAACATATGTAAATTTAATCATATTCAATTTACAATGAGTATAAAAGTATGACATAACTGAGAGTATATAATTTTTCTTAAAATCACTCAATTTCATCCCTACAAACCTAATAAATAAATAATCCAAATATCCCCCAAATCTTCATACATATTTTCGTCTGTATCATTGAAGAAGATTTGGTCATTATGAATAATGTTGAAAAGTTATATTTGGTATGCCTTAAATACTTGTGAAAATGTTATACAATGATTTCTAGAAATGTTTTGATACTATGTTTGGTTTAAATATTATTTCTTAGGAATATTAATGTTTCTTTCAAAAATATTTGTTATTTTCTATGACAATTAATAAATTATATTTTCACTATTAATTAAATTTGTGATTTTTAAATATTTTAAAACAAATAATATATGACATTATAATATAAGAATGTGTACGAAAAATAAAAATATATATAAAAAATATCAAATACTTATATGTGTCTGTTGATATAACTGTATTAGATAATATTATCACTTAAATTAATTGACATGAATGGTGAATGTTATGGAATTTCAAATGATTTTTTATTATAATAATAAGTTAATAATGAATTTTTTGAATAAATAATGACACAATAGATAAATAAAATAAACTTGGTTTAAATTTGAGAATATCAAGGGATATCATTGTATTTTTATAGGCTTAAATAATGTTTTGATTTTAACAAAATTTGCAATTTTTTCATTTAGTCCCTCTTTTTAAATTTTTCTTTAATTTAGTATTTTAAAAATATATTTTATTTCTATTTAATATCTTTATTAATTATTTAGTTTATTATTTGTTTACATAATAATTGAGGTGACTAAGACATAATATAAACGAGATATGTCATTGATAACATTACATTTTTCATGTTGTTAATGAAATTGAAGCTATAAAAGTAAGGGATTTTAAAATTAAATTTAAAAATATAAAAAGATTGAAAGGGTAAATGTTACATAATCTTTTACAACAATTTTATGTCATATTATATATTACATAGGTAATGTTTCTATTACTAAATTATTAATAGAAACACAGTAAGAAAAATAAAAATGACTTTTGAGGAACTTATTTAAAAAAATTAAAAATAAAAATCAAATAAAAAATTATAAATTTTTGGGAGGTTAAAATTTTTTTTGAGTCAATTTTTATATTATGAAAAACTTTTCACCTTTATGAGAATCTTAGATTTCCACCTCTCCCATAGAAATGTTTTCTTGATAAACTTAATTAGAAAACAATTTTTAAGAATGTTAATTTCCTAAAAATATTTCTTTATTCATACCATGTATGAGAATTTAACATTCACAATTAAAATTTTGTGAGAAACTCAAAAGAATCCTCCTACCAAACGTCTATTAGGTGTCTATTTTCATTTTTTTTTCAGTAATTTTTTGTTTAAAACATATTTTTTCCTCTTTTATAACCATATTGATAATAGATATACTTTTCATGTTTTTTTAAAAATAAAAATAATAATAGCACATAAAAAGTAGCAATAAATACTCCCAATTAACATTGAATTCAATTTATGACATTGGTATGGAATTGAGGTTTACATGAAGCAGTAACTAAGGTATGAACTTTGTTTGCACTCACACTGTTGTTGGTATTTGTGTTAAGTTTTATACATGGCTAATGTGTTAATGCGTGTAATGGGTAACTTCGTTTCTTCTCAGTTAAAGAAAGAAAGACGTGAATAAGATGAAAAATCAATTTTGATCGGTTGGGTTTTCTCCATGAAATCACTCTACAAACACTCACACAACAAAGCTTACAAATAAGAAAACAATGAAAAATCCTCACCATAAAAAATGGAGCAGTTGGATACTTCAATGTTTTAGTGACGTTGGCCAAGTTTGATCATGGAAAATTGATTCAGTAAAGATGAATTTTCCATCATTAGCTCTTTGGATACTTGATACATTAGTGGGCGATAATGGGGACTTTGACTCAAACAAGCAAACGCCAACCTTGCAATCAGTGTTATCTCCTCCATAGTTGAGTTCAAAGGTTGAGGAGGCCGTTGGTCCAATATATCAACTAATAGCAAATTATTGGTCATTGATGCTGTTGATAATGACAATGAAGAAATGAGATTTCCTGGATGCTTTCCCATAAGAATTTCCAAAGAAAGAACTCCAAAACTATAAACATCACATTTTTCATTCACTTCCAAAGCCATAGCAAGCTCTGCAACGAATTAAAAATTAATCTTAAAAGGATTACTGTGCATTAAGGCTGGATTTGGTTGACAGCTTAATTAAATGCTAAAACTTACTATAATAAGCTAAAAAGAGTTAATGAGAGTTATAGGCTATTTTCATAAGCACACCCTAAATTTAATAGTGTTTTAAGTATAATAGCTTCTATTCTTAAAAAGGACATTAATATTTGCACATAAACATAACATGTTCCTACACAATGTCTAAATAGAATCCAACCCCAGGCAAGTATGCATAATTTCAATAGAAAAAAAATTTGATTAAATGAAAACTAGTGTTATCATTTTCATTTTCAAAACACAAGGGAAAGAGCCTAACCTGGAGCAACATATCCAAAGGTTCCACCAAGTGTGGTCCAAGTGTGTGAACTAGGCTTCAGAAACTTTGCCATCCCAAAGTCAGACACATGAGCTTCATATTCAGAATCCAAAAGAACATTTTTGCTTGATATGTCACAATGAACTATGGGAGGTGAGCAGTTATGATGCATATAAGATAAAGCGTTGGCCACTCCTTTAACAACATTCACTCTCTTTTTCCAATCAAACATAATTGCTTGTGTTTCATTGTTCAGTACTTGATACAAGCTACCACCTTCTAGAAACTTATAGACCAATAAACAGAATCTTGAATGTGAGCAAAATCCATAAAGTTTTATGATATTGCGGTGTCTAATTTCTGTCAAGGCTTGAATTTCACTCTTAAAAGCTTTAAAACAAGACATTTCCTCATCTGTAAAAGAATGTAGTTTCTTAACTGCAACCACCAAATCTTGCAACTCAGCTCTGTAAACACATCCTTGCCCTCCCACTGCAACCAAATATTTGTCATCAAAATCCTCTGTAGCTTCAATAATATTTTCATAAATCATTTTTCCATCATAACACCATATTGAAAACAGCTCTTCCATTTGTGGTTTAACTTGATTTTTTTTCTTTCTCCCTCTCTTGGAAAGAATACATATAAAAACTACAACCCCCAAAAATACTAGAAATAGAGTGCCCAAGATAAGAAATAATACCAATAACATGACCTTATCAGTCTTTTGACTGTGGTTGGTTGAGCATGGCACTAGCCCTGTGACATTTCCACACAAGCCTTTATTATTCTTCAAGGATTCAATTGAAGTCTTAAGAAATGCTTGATTATTTGGAAGTGGTCCTTCTAATTGGTTGTAGGATATGTCAACAGAGACCAAGCCTGACATCTCACCAAAACTAGATGGAATGATACCCGAAATATTATTGTGGGAGAGGTTCAACAATTCTAGGCTCATCAACTCTCCAACTATTGTTGGTATTGGTCCACTCAAATAATTCCCACTAAGATCAAGAACTTGAAGAGATTTCAATTGGCTAAACTCAAAGGGAATGCTGCCCTCAAGTTTATTGTTGCTCAAATTCAATTCCCACAAGCCAGGTAACCCCACAACCTCTTTTGGTATTGTGCCACTTAATTCATTTTCTGCTAGATCCAAATACTGAAGATTCCTCAACAATCCTATTTCCTCGGGAATGTTTCCTGAAAGATGATTGTTGTTAATCTTGACTTCATATAAATTTTTCAAATTCCCAAGTTCCTTTGGAACCTTTCCAGTAAAGTGATTCGACGAAAGGTGAAGCCTACTTAGCTTGGTTGCTCTAATGAGTTCTACAGGTATTTCACCAAAAAGCTTGTTTCTGGAAAATTTAATGCTGGTGAGGTTATGGCATTTCCCCCAGTTTGGAGAAATGTGACCATAAAATTTATTGTCAGTTAGATCAATATAGTCCAAATAAGGATATACACCAAAGTATTGTGTTATATTCCCTTCCAATTGGTTTCCCTCAAGCCTTAGTCTGAAAATGCTAGAGCAATTCTTCAAGCTTCTTGGTACTGGACCCGTAAAATTGTTATGACTAGCAATGAAAAATTGTAGTGACCCACCAGTGCATATTTGAGGTGGCAAGTGGCCAATGAAATTATTGTCATTGAATTCC